TCTGCTCAGAGGGATAATCCACTTAACGGTGCATTCCAGTGGGAGGATCCCTCTCATGCAGCAGTGCCTGATGGAAGAAATGCCCTGTACATTAAGGTTCTCATGTAGTCCACTCCTGTAATACCCCTGTGATGTGACTCAGGAAACCCCTTGCATGGGGAATTGTATAAATACTGGAGCATGTGAAGACCTCAGTTGACTCCCAGTGTTTCGTCCGGTTACTGGGGGATTTGGGAGATTGCCTTGCTTTTCAGCGCTGACTGTGGATTACTGTATGTAACAGCGGAATTCGTGGGATTTAATATTGCCGATCCGCTACAATTAGTGGCAAGCGACGGGATCCAACCTTACAGCCGGTATTTTTTTTATTTAGCCCAATTGGTCACCCCCCATTATCTTTTAGGGCCCCACTTGCCGCTTATGGGAGGGGTACAATAGGTCCTTCTACCATTGTCTTTTAGGGCCCCCACCCGCCGCTCATGGGTGGGGGCCAAAGAGAACGCTATGTGCCCCATTTAGTTGAATGGGAAGTGTGGGGACTCTGGGGGGGGGGGAGGTGGACGACACACTGCTAGTTAATAGATGCCCCACCATGTGGCCATTTATTAGAAGGGTTGGGCAGCTTTTTTAAAATTATTTTTACAACAGTAAGCAGGCACAGGCTGCTCACTGTTTAGTAGACATGCCCCTACTCGCAGCATAGCAAGTAGGGGCTTTTCAATCTCCCTTATGTTAATATGGGGGTCATATTGACCCCCATAGAGTGAGGGAGGACATGGGGGGCTTAGGAAGTTGCGTGGAGCACAGCTCACTACCGCTTCTATTTTACATATTACAAGGAGGGAGCTGTGAGCCAGTAGCTCTCTCCTTGGAATAAACTGAATGAACACCAACATTCGGTGTTTGTTTGTTTGTCTGAAATTTCTAATCATTAATTTGTCTTTCTGACGAATGAATGAATAGATGAAATTCCTGTCCGAATTTCAGACAATAGTGAATGCCCAAGTGATTAACTGGGCATACTCGGGAATTTCATAGCGCTATCTAGTGTGGACAGATGACATGTCCCACAGGGCCTACATCTGCCCACAGAAAGATGGCGGCGCCCAGGACCTAGGTCCGGGCATGAAACTAAGAATGAAAAATATGTAATATGAAAAATATTTTATATCCTTACCTTTTTGTGTCATTTTACCCCACTCCCTCTAGCATGTAAGCTCATTGAGCAGGGCCCTCAACCCCTCTGTTCCTGTGTGTCCAACTTGTCTGGTTACAACTACTGTTCGCCCGTCCATTGTAAAGCGCTGCGGAATTTGATGGCGCTATATAAATACCATAATAATAATAATTTGGGGGTGACCAGGGGCACAATTAGATGTAGTGGAGTCGGGAGGGGGATTAAAAAAAAAACGGATGCGGCCATGAAAGTGCCGCTTTAAAGACTCACAAAATCCATAGAATGCAACCCCTTGCTACACCCTACAACTGTCAGACACCCCCTACTGTTCCTGGTTTTTTAACTCAGTGGATAAAACCTCAAGAGGCAGGCAATTGCTAAGACCTTCTGCCTTCTAAAGACTTCTCATTGGCTTGGCTTTTATTAGGGGAGGGCTTATAAAGGCTTCAGTCAAGAGATCTACATCTTTTGCAAGCTGTTTTAAATATACCCCCATTGAAAAAATGTTTAAATGCATGCATGTTTTCATTGGGGGTGTATATACTAAACATTGTTTTGTTATATTTTGTGGTCCTTGAAATCCAGTGACTGTACAGACACAATTGATTGTTATGGTTTGTAATTTTTTTTTAACTAAAATGCAGAAGATATTTTGCTTTTGCAGAACGTATTAATACCATTTTTTGGGACCTCTCAGCCAGTTTTCCATCACCGCACGCAAGCAATAATGTAGAGCAGTGGTTCTCAAACTGTGGTCCTCCATTCTCCAATGGATACACAATGTGATCTCCAAGAGAGACAAAGGTTCTTGGGTGGCCTTTAGAAAGACTGCTAGAGCTATTCACTCAAGTCATAATTCACAGTGAATTCAAAGTGTATTTCAAATTTACATAGTTACATAGTTACATAGCTGAAAAGAGACTTGCGTCCATCAAGTTCAGCCTACCTCACATTTGTTTTTTGCTGTTGATCCAAAAGAAGGCAAAAAAACCCAGTTTGAAGCACAATTTTGCAACAAACTAGGAAAAAAATTCCTTCTTGACCCCAGAATGGCAGTCAGATTTATCCTTGATCAAGCAGTTATTACCCTACATTGAAAGATTATATCCTTGAATATTCTGTTCTTGCAAGTATGCATCTAGTAGCCGTTTGAACATCTGTATGGACTCTGATAAAACCACTTCTTCAGGCAGAGAATTCCACATCCTGATTGTTCTTACAGTAAAAAAACCTTTCCTTTGCCTTAGACGAAATCTTCTTTCTTCCAGTCTAAACGCATGGCCTCGTGTCCTATGTAAAGTCCGGTTTGTGAATAGATTTCCACACAATGGTTTGTATTGGCCCCGAATATATTTGTATAATGTTATCATATCCCCTCTCAGGCGACGTTTTTCTAAACTAAATAGGTTTAAATTTGTTAACCTTTCTTCATAGCCGATATGTTCCATTCCTTTTATTAATTTTGTAGCCCGCCTCTGCACTTTTTCTAGTGCCATAATATCCTTCTTTAGAACAGGTGCCCAAAATTGCACAGCATATTCAATATGGGGTCTTACCAGTGATTTATAAAGAGGCAAAATTATATTCTTGTCCCGAGAATGAATGCCCTTTTTCATGCATGACAATACCTTACTGGCCTTGGCCACTGCTGATTGACATTGCACATTGTTGCATAGTTTGTTGTCTATAACAATTCCCAAGTCCTTTTCATGTGTTGTTATCCCTAATTCGCTTCCATTAAGGGTATACGTTGCTTGTGTATTCTTTACGCCGAAGTGCATAACTTTGCATTTTTCAACATTAAATTTCATCTGCCATTTGAGTGCCCAGTCCCCCAGTCTATCTAAATCCCTCTGCAGCAAAGTAATATCTTGCTCACATTGTATTGTTTTACAAAGTTTGGTGTCATCTGCAAACACTGAAACATGACTTTCAATGCGTCTTCAAGATCATTTATAAACATGTTAAATAGAAGGGGTCCCAGAACAGACCCCTGAGGGACACCACTTGCCACCTCTGTCCAGCTTGAAAATTTACCATTAATGACAACTCTTTGTACTCTGTTTTTAAGCCAATGTTCTACCCAAGAACAAGCATTTTCATCTAGACCGATTTCCTTGAGTTTGAACACTAATCTATTGTGTGGAACTGTATCAAATGCCTTGGCAAAATCCAAATAGATCACATCCACGGCAACACCCTGATCTATACTTCTACTTACTTCTTCGTAGAACGCAATCAAGTTAGTTTGACATGCCCTGTGCTTCATAAAACCATGCTGATTTTTGCTGATAACCATGTTCTTCTCAAGGAATTCTTGAATATTATCCCTTAATAACCTTTCAAATATTTTACCAGCCACAGAAGTTAAGCTCACAGGTCTATAATTTCCAGGCAAGGATTTTGAACCCTTTTTGAATAAGATCAAAGTAGCCATGTTGAAAGCATAGTTAACTTAGAAAACGTTTCTAATTCAGCTATTCTTACCTTGAATTTTAAATTTGCTTTGAATTCTCACTTTAGTGAATAACCCTTTGTGTCTGTGTATGCGAACGCAAAAGAGAACATTATTTTCTTATATTTTCCACAACCATAAAGTTCCACAACCATAAAGAGCACAGAGTAGAACTATTAGTGATTTGTGCACCTGTGGTTATGTGTTCTTTAATAGGTGATTATTAAATTGCTACTCATGTGCCTAGACCCAACTAGTAACCATATAGTTTTGTAGATGTATAGCCCAAAGCAGAACTGTGATGTGTGTAAGTAAACATATCTTGCGCATGAAGCCTTAGATCCTTTTAAGAAAGACTGAGCCTTTGATTGAGATTGTCCCTCCTGCTTGAAATGATACCTACTTTTCCTTAACAGGTAGAGACTTGAATACCTAAAGTTTAGTCGTTTGGATAATCTGTTTCACACTTTACCAATGATCCTCTCTTGAACAACCCCCAAGGAAAATGTTCTGACTATTTATAGAGTATTTATAATAGAGTATTTATGATGTTAGTTTACAGCTTCATATACTTATTTTTTTTTAAGTAGGGAAAAAAATAACCTATTTCATCCTAATATTGTATATTATTTAAAAAACACTACACCCATACTTATCTGGGGTCTGCTGGGTGCTGGTCACCTTCACTGTGAGAACTACAAGCTCTCTGCATAATGCTTAGATTGGCAGTAAAGAGCTTAGCTCATTAGCCAAGAGCGATCAGCTGACCTTCTCCACAAATGAGCTGGCCCTGCATGGTTTACCTCAGGAGAGTGAAATAGAAGATAAGTGGCGTACACACAACCCATGGGGCCCTGGTTTGAAAATTGATCCGTGGCTGGAACACATGGCGGTCGCAGGGACCGCGTTATATACGCCAGTGCATGCAGATACACACACACTTAAAGGACCACTACAGACACCCAGATCACAGTTCAATGAAGTGGACACCCAGATCACATCAGTTCAATGAAGTGGTCTACTATGTTTCACTGAGGGTTAATCCAGCCTCTAGTGGCTGTCTAACTGACAACTGCTAGAGGTGCTTCCGCGATTCTCACTGTGAAAATCACAGTGAGAAGACGCTGGACGTCCATAGGAAAGCATTGAGTAATGCTTTCCTATGGGCGGTTTGAATGCATGCGCAGCTTGCCGCGCATGCGCATTCGGAGCTGAGAGGCGGATCGGGGCAGAGGGATCCCCAACGCCAAGGAAGTCCGGCGCTAGAGAAAGGTAAGTGCTGAATGGGTTTTAAACACACACACACTCTCACGAACAGACGCATACACACTAGCTAACAAACACACACATTTACTGACAGAGACACACTCAGCGACATACATACACTCTCACTGACAGACACACACACATACACTCTCACTGACAGACATCAAACAGACTCACTAACAGACACACAGAAACTAACACACTCGGTAACAGACACACACAGTAACACACTCACTGACACACACACACACTCACTGACACACAAACTAACACACACACTGACACTAGCAGACACACAATCAATAACAGACACACTGACACAAAAACTAACACATACACACACACACACACACACAATCTAACACTAACACACACACACACACATGTTTCTTTAAAATGTAATCCCCCAGCCTCCTTACTTTTGGGAGAACTGAGGGGATTCCCTGGGGTCCAGTGGTGCTGCTGGGCGGCCGGTCACCGGGCTGGCGGGCGCACGAGGGAGCACTCTCCTCTGAGTGCTCTCTGCCCAGATCCTTCGCGAGCCGCGTACTGATGCCAGAGCCGGAATTACGTCATATTCCGGCTCCAGCATCAGTACGCGGCGCCAGCCAGCCCGCCTGGTGACACCAGGGCCAACCTCGTGGGGGCCAGAGGTGGCCAACTCCTGGACCCCCAGGAGAAGAGGCTGGCCACACTGGCGTACATACCGGGTCGCTGCGACCCCAGTATGTACGCCACTGTAGAAGATCCATGGAGGAGCTTTTGGTTCTCAATAGATGAAATGACCTGCTGACATGTGAAGGGGGGAGTGCAGGAGAAGAGAGATGAGAGTCTACTAAAAAAGATGTGTGCTGGTTTTTACCTCTCAACATTTACTGGCATTATCATGCTCTACAGTATGTTTAACCCCTTAAGGACGCATGACATGTGTGACATGTTATGATTCCCTTTTATTCCAGAAGTTTGGTCCTTAAGGGTTTAAAAACATGATAACAGCAAAACAATCATCGAAAAATTGGGCTTGGACTTTTTGATTATTGTAATGGCCCCTGTTGGAGTTTGAGTCTGAACGAGGCAGTAATCCCTTACTTTTCCCTTTTATGTTGTTTTTATTTAGAAAACCCTAATCTATTTTGGAACACCACACAATTTCATGCGTTGTCTTATTGCCTGTCAATTAGTTGGTTACCGTGTTCTTTTTCTGGCATTTATAAATAGTATGTAAGGGTTATGTATGTGTTTAGGATCACAGATTTGCTCATCGAATGTGACCTAATACTTAAGTTCTACTGTTTTTATTAGCAATAAGTCTGCTGATTCCAGCTGAGAACTTGCTGATGTACTTCCACAAATAGTGTAAACAGGAGTAATCTGTCACCTCTACTTAGTTACTGCTTCAAGTAGACTCGTATCTAATAAAAGACCACCCAAGTGCAGCAAAAATAGTATAAAATAAGGTTAAAGTTACTTCCCTTAAAAGGTCTAGCTTGTAACAAAAAGTTCCTCAGAGCTTCAGAAAATGCATACAAGATATAATATACACCTAGATAAAAAATGATAACAAGAAAGGAACAATCATAGGGAAACACCGTTTAGTAAATGTTACCCTAAAGTACTTTCCCCTATGATTGTTCCTTTCTTGTTATCATTTTTTATCTAGGTGTATCTTATATCTTGCATGCTTCAAGTAGACTACCTGACAAGTATTACCTATGTGACACCACAACATTTTAGTAAAATAATAAGTGTGCATGTTTTTCACATTCTGTGATATTTATTTTTTGTTTAGTTCACAAAATAGGTTTTTGATTTCATGCATTTTGTGTTTCAGTCCAGCAAAGTTCCTATTGTTCAGCCATCCCATGGAGTCCACCCGCTCACACCACTCATCCCATACAACAATGAATCCTTCAATCAAGGATCCCATTCACCACATCTTCCAGTAGACCTAAATCAGAAACAAGGTAATATGCTTTGCTTTAATGATCTATTCTTTACTGATTTATTTTATGTACATTTGATGGATAAACAATAGAATGCAGTTAATTCAGGATTCCTGTAGTCACTTTTTATACTCTTTTGAAAGAGCTTAAGATTTCATCTATTCATTGTGCTAGCAGTTTTGCTATCAAATGTAAATATTGGAAGTAAAGCTTATTTGCAAAAGTCAATTCCTGGAGCACAGCACAGAGATGGGTAAGAGCAAAATGCACAAAGGTCAAAGATGGCGTCGCTGGAACAGAGGAGAGGTGATTACATTTCTATATTTTACATTGATCACATCATGCATTTTTGTAATAGTTCATGTTTACTATACGGGTTCACTTTAAAACCAACACAAAATTTTCTGATTAAATATATACAGTTTTTTCGTGTGTGATTTAATAGTGTACGAAAGATAAACCTTTCAGAGCTTTTTAATTAATTGACAGTTTTTGGATTTTTTCTGTAATTAAGATTTTATTGGAGTTTCCATTTAATACAACAACTCGAATTCTCAAACAGTTTAACCCCAAACTTGCCTCCAGCAACAATGTCTACTCCCCCCACGATTCAGGAAGCGTAGACTGTTGCTGGGAAGGGGCTGCACTCCGTTTCTAAAAAATTCAAATTGTGCTGGCACTCATTCACATGTGGGTGCAGGTATTCGAGGTCAACCCCAATGTATCCTCATAATATATACAAAAATTTGAACATGAATACCAAACTCTATGCATTAATTATGAATGCTAAAGAAAAATTCATAATTGAGTTTGAGACAAAATTCATTTATTGATTAATAACCCAGTGTAATTAAAAAAGTTGCTCTAGTTAATTGGTGACCTAATCCTAAATTGATATATTATACACATCGAGGAAATTCATAATATATACACAATATTTACAACCACTGGCCATTTCATATAACATACACGAAGCACACGTTCATGGTATGTACAATGATTATTTACAACTAATTTACAGTCCTGATATCCTATACGTGTGGAGATAAGATATCCTAGGTGGATCCACCACCTGTTAATGTACTGATAGACCTTAAAAAATTGTAGAAAAAGAAAAAATTGATATTAATGGCAAATAATAAAAAATGAAAAAATAAAAGACTAAAAAACAGAAGGAAAAGAAAAAGGAAAAATCAAGAAAAAAAGGTCTATAAAGCAGTCCAGTAATGAAGACTAGTGCAATAGAAATTGCTTTATATATGGGTGGATCTAACCATCAGTAGTGATGTCTTTGCAGGGATATACTGTAGTTGTATTGAAGGTTTTCCTAGAATGTAGAAGGTGTAACCCAATGGAACACTAAAGAAGAAAGTCCTCTTTCGTTTTTAACTATCTGGCCGTGAAGTTCTCATATAAAGTCAGATCAGTCGGCAGAAACAACGGTCCTGAAGGCAATCCGCTGAGCGGCAACAAATGAACAAGAAGAATCAGCTGTTCAGCAGCAAACGGGCTGCGCGCTCGGGACATCCATGTGCCTTCGAAGGCCCCTGCAGTGGACAGATGAAAGGGCTGTGTTTAAATATCCAAGTTTTGGCGGCACTAAGCCAGTTTAGTGGATGGGGGAGTCACTGATTGGATGAGAGCCCCACGGCACTTTGCACATTCAGAAGCCAGATGCCGCTTGGGGGGGAGTGGACATCACTGTTGCGGGCAAATTTGGGGTAAAACCATAACAACTTAATTTAGGTGATGTTGTTTAGGTACTTGTAGTGTCCTTTTAAGCAGCATGCTAACCAGAGAACTACCACCACCAGAAAATTCAAGCCAAGGTCCTTAGGAACAAAAGCTTCCATCCAGGAAAAATCTATTTTTCCATTCTATCAGATACCAAATCTGTTTGGGCCTGTGAAGGCACATAGCCTTCCAAGGTCTAGCTAGCCAGAGGCACAGAGCTGTGCATAGTCTGTATAAAAGTTTGTGCGGAAGAAATATGTCCCTGTACCCCCTCTTTAAAAGCGTCGTCCACAGGCCTGGGAAGATCACATTAAAGGACCACTCTAGGCACCCAGACCACTTCAGCTGAATGAAGTGGTCTGGGTGCCAGGTCCAACTAGGGTTAACCCTTTTTTTTATAAACATAGCAGTTTCAGACCATTTGCCTTCCAAGTGTTCTCCTAAGTCGTGCTCCCTTCTGGAATTGTAGTGTGGTCATGTGTGGTTGATGAATGAAATTAAATTTCAATACTAGAGGCAATTATGAAACTATTTTTTTATGTAATTGAATTAAATTCATAGGACCCAATCTAGGTTGGTTCTTTAAAAGGATTGAACAAAGTGGAGAGGTTGACCAGGTACCAAACCAAGTGCTCTATTGGAAACGCTGGGTTGTGAAAGAGGATGTAATCAGCTACCCTAAAATATGCCACACGACTGTGAACCTTTCCTAAAAGCACAACTCTGGGCTAGGATGAGACTGTATGAGAACTGTAGTAGGGTGCAACAAAACTGTAATGTAATGTAATGAACCCATCTCTTCCTCCAAAAACACCCATTAGGCCCTGTTGGTTAACACATTTGTCTGGGCTAACATTTCAAATTGGGCTGCCTTGTAATAGGGTTGTAACTGAAAACCCATCCTCACCATTTATTTGGTGCAACTGAGGCTTAGAAAATCTGTCCCTCATGTCCTCACAAATGAAAAAGTAGATGTCAGCCTGAAGAGAGGTCAGGTTCACCCGCGTGAGCAGCAATGGTATAGAGCAAACTTTTTTCAAAGAGGGCCAGATTTGATTAAGTGAATATGCGTGAGGGCCAACCATTTTGCCTGACATTCTTTGAACCATTAAAATTTAATGCAAATTAACTATGTAACAGACCGCCTTGCACCTCGACTGGGTACCTCCGTTACTGGATGGTCCTAGCGCTTCCCAAGGGATTCCAAGCGATATCCGCCAGACACCACAACCACCGCAGACTCCACGAACGGCGGTGGTTGGGGTCTCACCGTCTCCTACCCATCCTGGACCTACGACAAGGCTCCAGGCAGCTTGGACAAGCTCTTAAAAGAGCTTAGAAGTGATTATCCAAGGGAGCATGCAGAGCATAGCAATCCCTTGAAGTGATATAGCAATTCCGCCAATAAGAGACAGGACTCTAGATTGAGGGTTAAGCAGGAACTGAATGCACTGAGGCTTTATTGCTCTTATATACACATTTCTCCACAAGGTTACCACCCACGTACCACCAATCATAAACCAACACACAGTTAAAGACTCCCATTCATTCCAGCAAAAATCCTCCCCTCTGCCTGTGATATAATTACTGAACACAATGGGTTAACGTAATTATCACAGGCAGGAAAATACAGTTTTTATACAATTCTTATAACTTTTAAATTATACATGCAATATTAATATAAGTCACATTTTCTAAATCAGCATACTTCGGGGACAAACATATTAAAAAATCATTCAAATCCGTCCAGCCGTTCGGGAGTTAGCTGGAAGTCATATTTTAACCGACTGCACGCACATTTTCGTGCCCAAAACAGTTCCAGAGAATCAGGCTGTGCGGCCGGTCTATTTCCCATGTTAAATATAGTTCAAATAGGCAAACGGCAACTGTTCGAATTGTCAAACGAACTGTCGAACAGTGTTTGAATTGTCGAACGGCGTTCGAATTGTCGAATTAGTTCGTTCCAGGGAAGGTAAAACTTAAGCGGTGTTCGTGACACTGCACGCGTTCGAATGAATTAAAATGGCCGTCGCCACGTGTTCGGTTGTCGAATGGCGGCCACTTTGACTGTATCCGAAGTGCCAATTTAAAGTTGCAGACTTGCTCCAATACAATTTAAAGGGGCAGTAAAAGTACAATAAACTCCAATATGCCCAAACAACGTTGTTAAAGGGCCAAATCTTCCAGGGACCATAGTCACAAGGCAGGAGGCTGGCAATTAGTCCTCTCCAGGCACAAGTTGTGAAGGGCACTTCGTCACAAACTATTTTATGCAAAGTTTATTGCAAACGGCATACTTTTCATTTCATCTCTTTATTCTGTCTGAGATCTGTTTATTTTGTCTCCTTATTCAGTCTCAAATCTCTTGATTCTGTCTCTTCTTTCTTTATTCTGTCCCTTCTCTTTTTACTCTGTCCCTTCTCTCTTTATTCTGTCTCTTCTCTCTTTATGCTGTCCCTTTTCTCTTTGTTCTGTCTCTTCTCTCTTTATTCTGTCTCTTCTCTCTTTATTCTGTCCATTCTCTCTTTATTATGTCCATTTTCTCTTTATTATGTCCATTTTCTCTTTATTCTGTCTTTATTCTGTTTTCTCTTTAACCCCTTAAGGACCAAACTTCTGGAATAAAAGGGAATCATGACATGTCACACATGTCATGTGTCCTTAAGGGGTTAAACTGTCTCTTCTCTCTTTATTCTGTCCCTCTTTATTATGTCTCTCTTTATTCTGTCCTGTCTCTCTTTATTCTGTCCCTTCTCTCTTTATTCTGTCCCTCTTTATTCTGTCTCTCTTTATTCTGTCCCTCTTTATTCTGTCCCTCTTTATTTTGTCTTTCTTTATTCTGTCCCCCTTTATTCTGTCCCTTCTCTGTTTTTCTGTCCCAGCAGGGAGAAGGAACCAAATCCCGCAAATCCCATGACGTCCACGAGATGCCGCGACGTCCAAGAGATTGCGAGAACGCAGACTGAGCTCACTGCACGTCCATCTGCGTTCTCGCGATCTCTTGGCCCCCAGTCAAGCCCCGATCGCCTCTCAGGACTGCGGTGTTCAAAGATCCAGGGGTCCTGAGCGGTGCTCGGGGATTCACTGGGGGCCTCAACAGGTAGATTAGCCAAACTACCTATGAGGCCGTATTAATCCGGAACGCGGGCTGGAATTTGGACATGACTGGTATAGAGCATGGGTGTCCAACCCACGGCCCGGGACCCGCTAGCAGTGCGGCCTGGTTGTAGTCCGCTCTGCTGGGCAGAGAGGGAGGCAGAGATGCCATACAGTGGCGTAGGGGGCAGCTGGAGGAGGAATACGGAGGCCCACAATGCCGTGCTGTCCGCATGCTCTGCCCTCACGGTGTTCTGAGCAGAAGCACCCTGACACTTTGTGCGGGCGGCGTCACAACGGGAGAGTCTGGAGTCTGGATCAACAGGGAGCAGCAAGCAGGCAGAGGAGCAGAGTATAGAATACAAAAAGTGAGTAAATGGCGCAAAGAAATCAGAAAAAAAATCTTTTGAGCCTTATAAGTCGGCTCTGAACTGTATTAGCGTATTTGCAACTCCAAGAGTGGTTTTGGTAAAGATGATGGTCTAAAAAGAAAATACTTATGCTCCTGAATTTTTGCAAATACGCTACTACAGTTCAGAGACTCAAAAGATTGTGAGTGTTCCAAATTATATGTTTATTGCATATACTTTGATTACATATTGCCCTATGAAGGCTTTCTGTATATTACAGGTTTAACAATCTTTATCCATTGTGTGCGCAAACCTGCCTTTCCTGTATCCAAGAGGAGCAGATTAATTGCTTGCTAAAATTGTTTGTTTTGTTTAAAAGTGTTTTTTTTGTTTGTTTTTTCTGCAAGGGTCTTGAGAGGGAGCAGGTTTTTTTTTTGTGAATGGATTTGTAGGGCGGACAGGGGTCTTTGTAGAGGGGGGTAGGAGTTTTTGTTAATGGGGTGCAGGGGGTTTGTAGGGGGTGGGCAAAGGTCTTGGAGAGAGGGTGGCAAGGGTTTTTGTAGAGGGGGCAGGGGTTTTTGTAGAGGGGACTGGACAGTAGTTTTTGTAGAGGACGGCTGGCAGGGGATTTTGTAGAGGGGGAACTGGGCAGAGGATTTGTTAGAGGGGGGCAAGGGATTTGTAGAGGGGGATATGGGCAGGGATTTTGTAGAAGGTGGGGGGGTGTTGTAGAAGTCGGACTGGGCAGGAGTTTTGTAGAAGGGGGACTGGGCAGGGGTTTTTGTAGAGGGGGCAGGTGTTTCTTAGAAGGGTTTTTTTTTATTGCCTACTACTGTTGTAGTAGGAAAAAAAATAATAATAGAAAACATTAAAAAAAAATTTTTTACAAAATAGTGTTTTGTTTTTTTAACATTTGAATTAGGTCAGGGGGTGGACTGCCAGAAGCTCTAGGTACACCCCTGAGCCCATTACATTCTGAACTTCTCCTGCACAGCTTTCTCACCGCAGGGCAGTGAACTGTCCGCGGGGATATGACGTCATCCCGGCATCATTGCTGGGCGCACGAGGGATCTGTGAATGAAGAGCACAGAGGCCCCAGACTCCAGCCCAGCAGCAACCACTGGCCACCAGGAAGATGATCCACTCCCAGAACAAAGGAGGCTGGGTAGACCTCTTTAGTATTAAATGTGTATGCATGTAACTTTTGTGTATGTTTTGTCAGTGATTGGCTGTGTGTGTGTGGGGGTGGGGGGGCATGGATCTGTAGACATGTCTGTGATTGTGTGTGTAAGTTTGTGATTATGTGTGTGCAAGTTTGTGATTGTGTGTGTGTGTCTGTGATTATGTGTTTGTATGTATGTGATTGTGGGTATAGGTGTGATTTTATGTGTGTGGATCTGTGATTATGTTTGAGTATGTGTGTATTTATGTGATTGTGTGTAGGTCAGTGGCGGATCCAGAGCCTGATCTCGGGAGGTGCACTTGTAGATTATTTAAAGAAATAATCCAGGCACAATAACCACTACAGCTCAGTGTAGTAGTTATGGTGCCAGTAGTGCCAGGATTCCATCCCAAGGTAAGTAGTCAAACCGTTTAAGAACAGTTTAACAACTTACCTGGGGTCTGCTGGGATATAGGGCATAGGAGCAGTGGTATGTGTTAGGGGTGAAGTGTGTGTGAAAGGTGCAGTGTGTGTGTGTGTGTGTGTGAAAGGTGCAGTGTGTGTGTGTGAGCGGTGAAGTGTGTGTGTGAGTGCGTGAGGGCAGCAGTGTATGTCAGGGTTGCAGTGTGTATGTCAGGGTTGCAGTGTGTGTGTTTGGGGGCAGTGTGTGTTAGGGGGCAGTGTGTGTGAGAGTTGCAGTGTATGTTTGTTTGGGGCAGTATGTGTATGGGGGAACTGTATGTGTGTGTATGGGGGGCACTGTATGTGTGTGGGGGGCAGTGTGTGTATGGGAGCACTGTGTGTGGGGGGGACAATGTGTGTATGGGAGCAGTGTACGTGTGTATGGGGAGCACTGTATGTGTGTGTGGGGCAGTGTATGTATGGGGGAGCAGTGTGTGTGAGGCAGTGGGTGTATGGGGGAGCAGTGTGTGTGAGGCAGTGTATGTATGGGTGGCAGTGTGTGTATGGGGGGGCAGTGTGTGTGTGTGAGGCAGTGTATGTATGGGGCGTGTGTGTGTGTGTGTGGGGGCAGTGTGTGGGGGTGGGGCAGTATGTGTATGGGGGGCAGTGTTTGTATGGGGGGGAAGGAGGGTAGGCAGGCTTTTTAATAATGTTTTTTTATTTAAATTAAATGAATATATTTATGTCCCCTCCCTTCTTACCTTTATTGGGAGGAGGGGGGACATTTCTGGATCCCTGGTAGTCCAGTGAGGCGTCCCTGGTGGTCCCAGTGGGGAGAGTGAACTCTAGCCCAGTGGGGAGAGTGAACTCTAGCCCGTGGTAACCGCGGCAACACTCCATACTCGCGAGAGTAGGACCCGGAGGAGCTGCAGGCTGAGCTCCCGGGTCCTCTCTCCCTGCCAGCACGGTGCTCTGATCTCCCCTCCGGTCCGGGAAGGCACATTGCAGGGCTGGCACTTGGACAGTGCCAGCCCCGCATTAGCTGGCAGGGGAGAATCTCGAAGCTTGAGACACACTATAGGAAAAGATGCAAAACATCTTTCCTATATTGTGTTTCAAGCTGTTGTATACAGCAAACACAGATGAAAAGGAATGCATGTTTAAAATGGAATGAGGCAAAAATTTGATTCTTTGTTAAACTAATTTGCATATGCCCACCCAGAATCTTTTGCGGTTGTAACATCGCTGCAGTTTTGGGATTTCTGTGGTAAAAGCAAGTCTTATGGCTTGACTGGTGTGCAGATTTTTGTTTAACATTGTATTAACTATCCACAGACTTCAGGTGGAAGGGGTTTTCAATCACAATTTGGTTTTCAATCACAATTTTTATATATATATATATATATATATATATATATATATATATACACACACACACACACACACACACACACACACACACACACACACTCTGACGTATTCGATTGTATGCATTTATACAACTAGTTTGGGGATGAGTTTGGCAGAGCTGGAAGAGGGTGTGTGTATGTGGCTGCTTGTGGTTTTGCATGTCTGGGGGTGGCTGTCTGTTTCATTTGCGGCTGTATTGGGGGAATAGGGGCTTTAGTGTGGGGGCTAGTGGCTATAGTGGAGTAAAGCGTATAGAACAGCCCCAACTTCTGCCTCCAGGATAAATGAATGTGAAGAAGTGGTAAATTATGATGACTCATCAACATACAAAGCCATATACCCCATTATGCTTTATAGTTATTGGCCCATTCACACCTGGACTAATATTAATACAGCCTTTCTTACTTCAAGCTACACTTTACAAAGTCCCTAGACTTGCAAATTGCTAACTTCTATCTGTTTTCTGAGCTCCTGCCCTGAGCTGTTAACAGCTGGACAATGATGATCTACATAAAATATATTTTTTAAAACTACTGTGTGATATTGATAACTGAAAGTAGCAGTTTAGGCACCATAACAGCTTAAGCTGACCGCTCTCTGACAATCAGTGGCGACGTTGCCCGATTCTGCAAGAGTCTTCTAGTTTAGAGATTTTTAGAGAATGGAAGGGCAGAGAGGCAGGGATTTCTGCGTTGGAGCAAAGACTTTGCTTCAACCCCTTTAGTTGAGCCAGCGCCAGGGACCTTCTTGCACCATAACAACTTTATGACGCTAAATATGTTATGGTGCCCAGAGTGTTTCTTCAAGTAAATCTAATTTTTGGTTTCATTTCGTCAGAGTTTAGTAAATAAAACTGGCTTCTCTTCTAACTGGATCTGTAATATATACAGTTTCCCTATATGTGTAATAATCGAACAAACATATAAGTACCCTGGTTATGAATTGGTAAAAGCTGTGTGTCTGGCCACTGCAGCAAGTCAGTGGCTACTCATAATGAGTCATGCTTGCGCTAAATATAAAGAATGCAATTTGACAGTAGGTAACAGCCACAGCCTTAAAATAAAGCAGACTGTGTGTGGTGATGAAAATGGAAAGTTAATTTTTCTTTTTGCATCATACCAAAAAGTCTATTGGCCAATCATTCTTTTGAAGAGAGCTGTAGGCTGAAAACAGGAAATTGTCTGATTACTTTAGTTGCTATGTGTTTTCGTTTGGTTGTGCATTTCACATGAACTTTACTGTACAGTACTTAAAAGACCACTATAGTGCCAGGAAAACATACTCGTTTTCCTGGCACTATAGTGCTCTGAGGGTGCCCCCACCCTCAGGGTCCCCCTCCCGCCGGGCTCTGGGGAGAGGAAAGGGGTTAAAACTTACCTTTTTCCAGTGCCGGGCAGGGAGCTCTCCGCCTCCGATCCTCCTTCTCTCCTCCCTTTCGGCTGAATGCGCACGCGCGGCAAGAGCTGCGCGCGCATTCAGTCGGTCTCACAGTGAGAATAATGCAAGCGCCTCTAGCGGCTGTCAATGAGAGGATTTGAGGGCTGGATTAACCCATTTATAAACATGTTTATAAAAAAATGGGTTAACCCCTAGCTGGACCTGGCACCCAGACTACTTCATTAAGCTGAAGTGGTCTGGGTGCTGTGATAAAGTGAAGGCAGATAGGCCTTTTAACCCCAGGGGAAGAAAGTGTAGTTTGTGTGTTGAACAACACAAAACACTGTTTAGTTATGGGCCCCTGGGGTGGAGCATTTGGAGAGAAGGGTGGGCCAATGCTCCACTCCACAGTTTAGTGGTTTTCTGGGGAGACATGGATCCAGGCCAGGGTTTTTTGGATCGTCTCCAACCCACTGCTCAGCTGCAGTTAATGAGCTGTTGCAGTGGGAATAAACTCCTCCCTGCTAGACAGGTAAAGGAGAGGGATTGCTGGCTTCCTCCCAGGAAGCAGGTAGGAGAGAGGCTGATCTCTCCAGATAGAGTCAAAGAGACTAGGCACTGGGAGTGCAGAAGGAAGCAGTCAAGGCTGGCTTGGAGGCACTGGGAGTGCGGAAAGGAAAGCAGTCAGGGCAAGGCTGGCTTGGAGCACTGGGAGTGCAGAAAGGAAAGCAGTCAGGGCAAGGCTGGCTTGGAGCACTGGGAGTGCAGAAAGGAAAGCAGTCAGGGCAAGGCTGGCTTGGAGCACTGGGAGTGCAGAAAGGAAAGCAACAGGCTAGCTAGCAGAGTGTTGCTCTCTAATAAGGTTGGTGCAATATTGTTTTGTTTAGTTTAACCCTGAGAGATAGGGAACCTAAAGTGAGTTAGTGCTCAGACCGAGCTAGGTTTTTGTTTATAGGGTTTTCTGTTACATTTATGTTTTCATTTTACTGCTGTATCCTGTGTGAACTTACAAATAAAGTGCCTGGAGTATATGAATTACAAGGACTGTGCATGTTTTTGCCCTAGAGGACCGTGCTACCTGCTGACAAGGATCACAGTGCCTAGAGTAGTCCTTTAAGGATGCATTGATTACTGTAGAACCAGTAATCAGATGTTTAAAATACTGTGTCCTCTGACTATTCCTTTAGTGTTCTTTTACTTTCGTTTCAGAAACCGCTCTACCAGCATCGTGTAACAATGTGTTTCATTCTGAGCAGAGCTAGCAAGTACAAAAATCTTAAAGGAACACTATAGGGTCAGGAACACAAACATGTATTCCTGACCCTCTAGTGTTTAACCCACCATTTAAGTGGCTTGCTCCCTCCCACCCCCCTTAGCACCCTAACTTAAAAGTTAATAAAACTCACCTTATTTCCAGCGTGGCGCTGGCCCTGCCCCATAGGTGACATAATCAGAATTACCGATTTTTAGCCAATTCAAAGCTTTCCCATGAGGACTGGCATGGCTTGGGAGAAAAAGTGATTCAAATCACGTCCCCCGTGCCACTTAAGGGGGGTGTGACGGACCACCTTGCACCCAGACAGGGTACCTTCATCAATCACTGTTTCCTAGTACTTGCGAGTACCATAAGCACTGCACTGGAACACCATAACCACCGTAAACCCCATGAACTGGTTGGGGTCTCGCCGTCCTCCACCCACCCTGGACCCAAGACCAGGACCCAGCTTTCAGTGGGTAGACCTCTCCTAGTCCAGAGAGTGTAGCAGGAACAGCTCTTAGAAGAGCTAATGATTATACTCAGGGGACTATAGTGATTATAGCAATCCCCAGAGTGTATGTAGTTCACCAATCCCCCAAACATGAGCCAAGACTTCATGAAGGGGGTAAAGCATTCTGTTTAATGGAAGCCACAGCTGGCCTTTTATGCTAGTCCCCATGAAAGTTGGACACCCACATGGACCTTGTTGGGGACAGGGACACAAAGCTTACAAACCAATCAGAACAGTAATTAAATGTACGACACTCCCATAACAAACATACAATCCTTCCCCTCTGCCTGTGAGATAATTGAGTCAGATACTGTATTAACCCAATTATTTCCAGGCAGAAAAACACATTTTACAAAACACACCATAAATGTTACATCCCCTGATAACCCTGATCTGGGTGAACAACATATCCAAAAATCACCCAGATCAGTTCAGGAATTTCCTGGAAGTCTTATTTTTGACCAACCGTGCACATGGTCCCATGCCCAAAACAGTTCCAGAGAATTAGTGCTAACGGTCGGTCTCTCTGTCTGGAGTACAAAAGTACATACTTCACATAAACAGAGTCTATTAAAGTGCATTGGGCATGGTGTATTGCAGGTCCCATAGTCCTGAGGTAAGAGGCTGGCCAGCAGGCCCCTGCAATAACCAGTGACGAGGTTACTTTCATCACAGGGGGCCAGGTACCTAAATAGTAAAACACTATAGTGTTAGGAATACATGTTTGTATTCTGGACACTATCGTGTTCCTTTAATTATAAACCTAAACCAGGGCTCGACGAATCCCAGGTTGTCATGGTGCCTAGGAATTTAGCCTTGGTGCCTGAAATATGTAAGCCCGGCGGGCGGACTGCTGGGGAATTATGGAGGTTGGTGGCAAGTTGGGGGGTCGTGGAGGCGGGCGGCTAGCTGCGTGAATAGTTGGCGGGCGGCAAGGGAGCTGTGATGTTCATGCTCTGCTCCCTCACTTACTGCTTATTGAGACTCAGAATATGACATCATATCCCGACCTCACTAAGTGGCGAGCGGGGGAGCAGAACATGGACATCACAGCTCCCTCGCCGCCCTGGTGCAATACGTGCAGCATGCTGTCTGCCTCCATAAATTCCTAACTTGCCGCTTGCCTGCACGATCCCCCAGCAGGCCGCCCACCTACACAATCCCCCAGCCAGTCACCGACTGATTCCCACAGGTATCAATACAGGCAATAATGTGTGAGTCTGTGTCAGTGTGTGTCTATTTGTCATAGTGTGAGTGCATTGGTCTCTCTGTCATGGTTTATGTGTGTGTGTGTGTTTGTCTGTCATGGTGTGTGTCTGTGTGTCATGGTCTGTGTATCATGGTATATGTGTGTGTCTGTGTATCATGGTACGTGCGTGTGTCCGTCTGTCATTGTATGTGTGTGTATGTCTGTCATAGTTTGTGTGTCTTTCTGTCATGATCGGTGTCTGTCATGGTACGCGTGTGTGTCTGTCATGGTGTGTGTGAGTGTATGCGTCTGTCATTGTGTGTCTGTTTGTCATGGTATGTGTGTGTGTCTGTCATGGTATACGTGTGTGTCTGTCATGGTATATGCGTGTGTGTGTGTTTGTGTCTGTCTTGGTGTGTGTGTGTGTGTCATGATGTGTGTGTTTAGGTTACCAGACCCCTTCTGTTCGCAAGGGAATTGTGTTTTTACTCACCTTTTTTTACCATGTCGTGCTGATCTCAAGCTTGATGATCTCAGCCAATCTAATGTTTTCCCATAGAATTGGCTGCAAAACACTGCACCAATCAGCATCTCCTCATATAGATTAATTGAATCAATGCATCTCTACGAGGAACATTAAGCGGCTCCATGCAGAGCGTGAAGAGGCTGAATGTAGGTGCTGCACAGTGAAAAGGCAGTGTTTACATTGAAAAGCATGCAGGGAGAGGCTATAGACACCAGAACCACTACATTAAGCTGTAGTGAACCTGGTGACTATTGTGTCCCTTTAAGATTTGTATTTTTGTCATTGAATATAAAGCTATGTAAGTTTAAAAAAAAATCTGGCTCCTAGATTCAAAGCAAATTTGTCAAGCCCTAACCTAAACAGTGTAATAGTCACTGAGTTGGGAACTAACCACCCAACCAATATGATCCATTTTGAGTGAGTGTCTCTGACACTTGATTTTTGGATTACCAATCTTCCTTTAATAATGAAATAGTAATTAAATAAAACAAATGCGTTTCACCAACACAGGGCTTCTTCAAATGGTAATGGCTGTGAGGGAGCCCCATACTTTAGGTTTTGCTGCCTATATCCGCATATTTTCTGGCTGGTCACTTAGTGCTGATCCATTTGTTGTCTGTTTATTTAAATAAATATGTATACAACTTCATAACGTTGTAATTTTAGAAGAAACTTCTTACTGGAAAGAAGCAAGATATTTATCACAGATTTTGTGATTTGTTTTTGTTAATCATGCATCTAGATGAGATTTGATGTGTTTAATCCTCTTGCTAATTTAATGGAGACCCAATTAAAATACTCATGTAGTGTGTGTTGGTTGAAAACCTATCTGCCATTCTTTACAAAATTATTATTAGTGATTGAATCTTAAACTGGATGCTGTGTTTATTTTTGTAGGTGTTCACCGGCCTTCCCAAACATCAGATATGCCTGGCTTTTACTCTATTCCCCCAGGAGGAGTTGGACAGATACCACCTTCAGTGGGATGGTGAGTATTGAAAACAAGACAAGATTATAATAATGAACCTTAATATTATACAGTCTAATTAAATGTTTTTAAAAATATATATTTTAAATTATGTCTTAAAGTAAAAAATGAATATGCTTTTGTGAATTTAACAACATAGTCTGCATATATTTTCAGATATTATTTACTGGTAAGTATATTATATACTAGTAAGCCCAAATGCTTGATATTTGGATGCTTGTGCTGTCGTGCGCAAGTCCTGGTAATTGGCTATAAAATACATATAGTACTTTCACTGTCTACTTTATATTAGATATGTTTGTTTGCAATTTAGGCCTCTGATTCACTGCACACAGCATGGCCTATTTTTGAGTCATGACACAAGGTTTTATAACCAGCTGCTTAGCAGTTCAAAGTGCTTCCAAAGGCTTCGAAGGGGCAGATAATAATATGTAACTTTATGGGAAGAGACCACAAAAATAGAATTGCTTAGTAAAAACCATTTTCACTCTACCTGAAATTCATCTGAATAACCATATGATGGACAGCTAACAATAGATTTTACAGCTATATATGTTGAATAACAACAAAACTTTGACATTTTTTCTTCTGAGGCAAAAGTAAAGTACCACTTTCCATAGATGCCTGTTACTTACAATTGTTTTACATTTGATAAAGTGTGAATTTTTAATTGTAGTCCAAAATTGTCAAACTGGAAACAAAAACAAGCCTGACTTGGAGAATTTTTCCACTTTGTCTATTTTGGTTTAAAACTATAAATTATAAAATAAAATTCAGTCTTCGCTATGGAGAATTGGTACACACTGTATTTGTAGAGGTCACTTTAAACTTATCCTAGATAGAAGGATTAATGTTAGTCAATAACTTGTATATCCATGCCATAACTATTGCATGCAGTACACGCTACTAATAAATACAAAACTGTGAAGTACTAGCTGCCTGTGTTTCTTCCTTAATCTTGAAAAACTGAACATAGTCATATATATGACACTACTAAACCACCCAAATCTAGAAAACCCAATGTGTACTTTTAGCTGGCCCCACTCAGAAATAATTTGAACATTGTATAGGATAGCAGTCAACAGACTAGTAGGATATTGGTTTATAGAAACCGCTGGAAATGCAGATGACTGTGATACTGACTTTCCTGTGGTTTCCTACCAAGAAAATAACTGTGCTTATCTTAATGTATAGAGCCAAAACATTTAGAAAATAAGGGCATGTCCCTCAGTTAGCGATGTTTGCCAGGAGGCCATTTTGAATTATATTTACTATCTCTTTATATAGCTGTAAAGTAAAATGTTTACCTGCAAGCTTAGATCAATTGAATGAAATGTAGGTCCCAGGGGTAGCCAACATAACTCCCCTTCCTACAATTTTACAGCCATTGACTTATTTTCTTTTAGGACAATTGCTACAGATTGTAAGACCAGTAGTTCTGCCACATCTGGAAAGCTATAACCAGTACTACTATAATTTTTATAGTTAATATTTGATTATTAAAATTTCTTTCAATATATATTATATCCCTAATATCAATGCTTCATAACATACATCTAAATTTAACATCTCATGATTTTATAAAAAAATAAATAAAAATAACACAATTGCTAAAGTGATAGCATTTTACAGTAGATTCGTATTTAGCAGTCTACTATACTAATGTGTACATCGTCAACAAAAATTAATTATTTACTTAACGAAGAAGTGAGTTGTCAATTTATCAATACAGTCTACATCAGCAGATTGATAATCCAATTTTCCATGTTGATAATGCTCCTTTTTCACACTAAAATTAATATTTGCCATAGTTATGTATCTGTTGTTCATGGCTATTTTATTTGTTTTTTTATTTTTTTTGCCATCACAGAGTTCAATAAATTATAATTTACAATTACAGCAATTAGCATGTCAAACTAATTTTGACTAAAGTTGTCAGCCCCTTCTTTTTTGGTATTGTAATAATTTGTCCATTGGAGTAAAATATGCTGTTTTGGATTAGTATTGTATGTTTCTTTCCTGCTTTGGGATCGGAATGTAGAACTTCAAAGGAATCAGGAGGTTCTTGATGTATTGTAGGTCTTGGATACTTGGTGTGATTACAACATATGTGATTAACTTTTAAGTAGTGTGGGAGAGATTTGCTGTCTGACAATTTGTAAACAGAAGGTCAGGACTCAGCTAATTTCAGTTTGTTATCATGATATTTGAATGGAGGTTGACTTTCCAGAGACATGCAGAAATTCTAGTTACAAGATAAAATATGTTTGGAATGCCAGGATGAAAGACACACAAAACCACAGGCAAACAACTTCTGTCATGAACCTGTAGTGACTAACTGGAGATAACATGCTAAGTACTGGGACAGGTACAAATCTGCCAATCAATAGATACAGTTAGAAAAATGTGTTTTTCTGGGTTTGTTAATCCCACTTTAACATTTATGTAAATGCTTATCTCAGGGCAATTTACCTTTTTCCAATGCATTTATAGTTTTTAGAAAAAGCACTAAAATCTATTTATAATGTGCCGTAACACAAAGATAAATCAGTGGCTAGCGCTCCAGCTGCAGTATCTCCAACTCTCACGTTCCATTCTTAGCGAGGCCGATTCAGCCTTTATTTAAACCATCTAATAATTATCAAATAACATCTAGACACCAGTGCATATTGAATATGTCATATTTTGTGTCTATTCATTCTACTGTGTCACGTATTACATAGTCACATGTAGTTACATGTCTTATGATGGTATTTTGTTTTTTTGTGGTGGCAGGAATTTTTTAAGAGAGAGGAGTATTTATTTGACTCTCACAAATCAAATATTGATATGTGAACTATCAGCAATTAAAATATTTAAGCCAAACTTTCCAAATTTATAACCGTTTCACAAATTGTCTGTTCTGGACTAAAGTATAAAATTAGTTTGAATTCACTTTAAATTCTTAACAAGTAAAATGTTATTTAATGTTTTTTCACACTTCTAGAGGATTTTTATTATCTCTTAATTGCGGTTGAGTAGGCTTTTTTCTAATCAAAATTGTTATAGCTTAGTTATAGTATTCTTGAACTAGTCTCTAACCATCTTAGATTGTTCCTATAACTCTGCATAATCTAGTGGCACTTCTTCTCAATAAAGTGGTCTGGGTCAGTGGTCCTGTCTTAGTAACAAATTGCAATTTTTTTAAAGAAACCAAAATGTTTACTTTGCAGTGTAAAATCCACCCTTTAGTGGATGACATAATGACACCCACTAAAGGAACTTCCACTGCAACTACAGAGTAAAACTCAGTCACATGACCTGGAAGCCCCCATAGGAAAGCATTCATTCAATGCTTTCCTATTGGGAAGCTTGGATGTGCTCACGGCTGTGCATGCCACACATGCCCACCAGGTTCTCAATACTTTTCAATGAAGAGCATTGGGAGGACCATCAATGGACAAGGACAGTCCTCCAAGTTGCGTAGAAAGGCTAAGCACTGTGAAAAGTTAAAGGGACACTATAGTCACCAAAACAATATTAGCTTAATGAAGCAGTGTTGGTGTATAGATCATCCCCTGCATTCTGCTGCACAATTCTCTGCCATTTAGGAGTTAAATCACTTTTGTTTCTTTTTATGCAGTCCTAGCCACACTTCTCTTGGCTGTGATTCACAGAGCCAGCAAGAAAAATAAATGTGTTCAGATGTAACTTACTTTAGATGTTTTTATCTCCTGCTCTGTAAACTGAACTGTAATTAATACAGGAGGCTCCTGTTGGTTCTAGCAAGCTATTGACAGAGCAGGAGATAAGAAATGCAAGGTTAAACACATTTACAATAAAGGAAGTAGAAACATTAGAATACTCTTTACAGGAAGTGTTTATGAAGGTTGTGTAAATCACGTGCAGGGAGGGTTGACTAGGACTGTATAAACAACATGATTTAAGTCCTAAATGACAGAGAATTGAACAGTGAGACTACAGGGACATGATCTATACATCAAAACTGCTTCATTAAAGGAGCACTATAGGGTCAGAAACACAAAAATGTATTCCTGACCCTATAGGGTTAAAACCACCATCTAGCCAACCTGGTCCCCTCTTGCCTCTCTAAAAATAGTAAAACTTACTTGTATCCAAGTCTGCAGCTGCATATTTTGTCCCTGTTTCCTTTAGACCTGCCCACTGTCTGATGACGTCAGCAGAAGTGGTAGCCTGATCCAATCACAGTGCTTCCCTATAGGATTGCCTGAGACTGACAAAGAGGCAGATCAGGGGCAGAGCCAGCACAATTCAAACACAGCCCTGGCCAATCAGCATCTCCTCATAGAGATGAATTGAATCAATGAATCTCTATGAGGAAAGTTCAGTGTCTGCATGCAGAGGGTGGAGACACTGAATGTTTGGATGCATTTTAGGCAGCCATGACCCAGGGAGGATCTCTAACAGCTATCTGAGGAGTGGCCAGTAAAGTTATCACTAGGCTGTAATGTAAACAATGCATTTTCTCTGAAAAGACAGTGTTTACAGCAAAAAGCCTGAAAGTAATGATTCTACTCACCAGAACAAATCGAATAAGCTGTAGTTGTTCTGGTGACTATAGTGTCCCTTTAAGCTAAAGTTGTTTTGGGGACTATAGTGTCCCTTTAAGCTAAAGTTGTTTTGGGGACTATAGTGTCCCTTTAAGTATTACCATTTCATTTAATAATTTATTGCACACACTAGGCATGGAGGGGTCTGTTTAACTAGGGACAAGGATAATAAAGTGTTAGTAATACAGAGTTGTAATGTTTTAGTGTTCCTTTTACTGAACATTCCGAGCCCCACAACCACTACAGCCTACTGTAGGGGTTATGGTGCAAGGAGTAGCCCGGCACCCTCCCATGGTAACTAGTCAAACTATTTGAGAATGCTTTGACAGCTTACCTGGGCTCCACTGGACACAAGCTGCCACCTTTTCTCCACTTTCTTTACACATCTGACACCAAAAGTGAATGAATAGGTCAGAGCACCTGATGAAAAAAACAGACTTTTCTAGCCGCAATAAAGAGTCACATTTCAGAAGAGTTGTTCACTATTTCAGGTTGTTCCTGGGTTCCATAGAGATAGATGGGTACATATTTTCATGGTTGGCTACCTGTACAAGGAGTGTTATTTTTTTAAATTTAATACCTTTAATATAAAAAAAAAGGTTAATATAATGTAACAAATATAGGTATTTTCTGCACTTTGTAATTAAAATTTTGGTAACAGCAACACTCACTCGAATTATTGACTTTTTGGATTATTTCTTCCCACTCACAGGCAAAGCCAGCCTGTCTATCCCTTATCATCTTGTGGATTTAGACAGCCATATTCCTCCACACTGTCTCCTGGTGCTTCCTACTCCAGGTAAGTATTTGGCTGCCGAGATGGGGCAAGGGTTCCCTGATCTCTTGGCTTTGCAGCTTGCACTGCTCAAGCTTTTTTTTTTGTCACATACAATGTTTGTGCATCCTCCAGATAAGGGAGACTCTCCAGCTTTATGTGTTGCATCCGTGCTTTTCTTACGTTGTTTTCAAAAAAGCAGTCTTCTGATGTTTCAGTGTATGCAAATATTGCAGCAAAAGAAACCAGCTTATGGCATATCTGTAGAGTCTGTCTTGTTCATATAATTGTACATGTTTTATTTTGACAAAAACATTTAGTTCTGACGTGGATAAATCACTACCTAGTATTTTCAGTAATAGATAAACATGTAGTCGATATAAATTGGGTGGTGCTAGGTTCCACTAATATTTCTTCTAAGTCAAGCACAGTTTACAGGTAGAGTAACTGCAAAAATCCTTCTGTTTTGAGGTATGAGAAGGCTTATTATTATTTTTGGCAGTTATATAGCTCCAACCAGGGCTGGACTGGGAACTAAAAGCAGCTCTGGAAAAGATTCTATACCAGCCCAATAATGCGTCGCCCCAGCATAGTGTGCTGATATAGAGGGTTAAAAGAAAACTCAAAATTGAAAACTATTACCTCGTTTAGTGTATCTTGTCTCCAATTCTCTCCTTTTTGTCTCTTACAGCCACCCTTGTAATTCTCTTTTAGCTCCCCTTGCGTATCTTTTACTTCATCTCAGACCCTTTGTGTTTCTTTTTACCCTTCTCCAGCCTCTGTATGTCTCTTTCCCCAGCCCCTTTGTCTCTTCCTCCTCCTTCCAAATCCCATCTGTGTGTCTCTTTCTAACTCCAGACTCTGTGTGCCTCTTTCTCTTCTCCCAGCCACCCTGTGTCTCTTTTTCCCCCAGCCCAGCGTTGCCTCCCACAAACCTTGTGTGTCACTTTGTTCCACTTCCCTTCTGTATGTCTCTTTGTCCCCCCACAACAAACCTTATCTGTGTCTTTCTCCCCTCTCCTCCCTGTCTCTCTTCCCCATCTCCTCCCTGTGTTTCTCTTCCCCCATCTCCTCCCTGTGTCTCTCTTCCCCATCTCCTCCCTGTGTCTCTCTCTTACCCCTCTGTCTCTTTGTTCCCCCTCCCCTGTGTCTCTCTATTACACCTCTGTCTCTTTGCCCCCCCTTCCCTGGTGTCTCTCTATTACCCCTCTGTCTCTGTGTCCCCCCTTCCCCTGTGTCTCTCTATTACCCCTCTCTTTTTCCCCCCATCCTCTGTGTCTCTCTCTATTACCCCTCTCTGTGTGCCCCCCTTCCCCTGTGTTTCTGTTACCCCTCTGTTTCTGTGTCCCCCCTGTCCTGTGTCTGATGCGGCCCCTGTCACAGGAGGACTGAGGGAGGGGGCAGAGCTAACTACCATGCTCCCTCGCGGCTCCCATAATTCCCAGCACAGCCACATCATAGCGTAATCACTACTCTATGATGTGGCTGTGCTGGGAATTGTGGAAACCGTGAGAGAGCATGGTAGTTAGCTCTGCCCCTTCCCTCAGTCCTGCTGTACTGCTGTCAGTATCAGTGAGTGTGCCGCCCGACCGGTTATGCGGCCGCCAGGCACACTCACTGATACTGACAGCAGTCATACTCATGAGATGGGGCTGCTGGCTGCAAGGTAAGTAACCACCTCAGAGTGTGCTGCTGGACCAGCCATCCAGCAGCACCGACATGCAACCGGCGGCTGCGATATTATTAAAAAACGGCTGCAGAGCTCCCTCTCTATAGGGAGTTAGAGTTCTGCAGCCCCCAGGTGCCACGGCCCACCGGGAAATTTCCTGGTATCCCAGTGGGCCAGTCCGGCCCTGGCTCTAACATATTCTGCTGCACTTTATTACACTATTATAAACAAATAGATAAACATGTAGTCGATATAAATTGGGTGGTGCTAGGTTCCACTAATATTTCTTCTAAGTCAAGCACAGTTTACAGGTAGAGTAACTTCAAAAATCCTTCTGTTTTGAGGTATGAGAAGGCTTATTATTTTTGGCAGTTATATAGCTCCAACCAGGGCTGGACTGGGAACTAAAAGCAGTCGGGTAGTAACAGTCCCAGCTTGCCTATCCAGAGGACTTGGAGGCGTGGCTTGAAACTGTGCTTCCAATCGTTCAAATGATTAAATTATAGGAATTTGGAAGCTAGGACATGGAGGGAACTACTGTAAGCCCTGTAACAACTTCAATTAGATGAAGTTGGTATAGTGAACAGTGTTCTTTATGGTGTTTCCTACAACTACTAGCAGTAGACAAGCAGATTAAAATAGCCATACAATACCAGGTGATTTGAACAAGTCTGGAGCTAACCCACCTCCATATTTAATACAAACACCCAGGGCCACCATGACTTTACAGATTCTGTGGCCTGTGTCTATACAGACACAAATTCAGACGCATGGATACTTCCACACAGAGATGCATAATCTAAGGCACACATTTATGCACACACACATACATATACTAATATACACGTTATTTTTAGCCATTCTCATGTTTAGATATATTTCTGATGCAGGGATGTTGTATCCATGGTGTCTATTGTGAAATGATGGCAATTATGTCTTGCACAACTTCCTTAGAACACTGAGAAGAAGTGATATGACAACACATTCTTCTATCACTGCCACGCACCAATCAGTAGGGAGCTGTTCATGAAGTCTAGTAAAAGACTTGTTTTGTGGGAGACTTTGAGAGTATATTTATGGGAGCTGTTACTAATTACGGTACCTCAAGGGGTGTGCCTTTAATGGAAGGGTCCATTATTAAAATAATGCGAACGACCCTAGTTTGCGCAGTAATAATATTTACACTTTGCACAAAACATGTATGATTACACGAAGAACTTTTCTTCCCAGCATTTTTAATACTATCACTACATTTAACAAATATGTACTTGCGAGATGTAAATAATGAAATCCACACCACATTATCCTGCAACTGGTCAGTCACTTTTATATGCTCTTTCCTTTGTTACTTGTAGTCAGAATTGAGAAAACATACAGAGAAGAGGAAACTTTAACATTCTAGGTTATTCGCTAAAGTGAGAATTTAAAGGGAATTTCAAATTACTGCGCAAAATAGCCATGCTGATAGCAGTGCAGAATGTTTCCAGTTAGGCTATTTGGGCCTTTAATTTAAAATTCACTTTGATTTGAGTTGACTACGGATTCCTGACAGTTCTGACTTTAGTGAATAACCTAGAAAGTTTCTATTTTCCCTCTTCATTAGGAAAGTTTGCCCTGGTTTTGCCTTACTGGATTTTTTATCTTATTTGTTAAATCTTTAATATAAATTTGAAAAAATAAACAGTGCATCTCATTAACAAAAGATAATCATGAGTTATAGGTCATTTCCAAAGATTTGTATAGAATGGTACAAATTCCCCTTTAATTGTACTTCCCCAAACAAGGGGAGAGCTTTTTCACACATTCTTAACGCAAGTGCTTTCAGTCAGGAGCCACATATATTAAGCAAAATGTGATAGGTATAAACCTGTTTAATTCATACAAACTTTTAATGGAAGTTTTCAGCTAAACCTGTGGTAACAGGCAAAATTCATTAAATGGTAATGAACGAGATCAAAGGTTTGCTTGTAGCAGCACCATTAGCTGAACTCTTCTGTCACTAATGTATTGTTTGAAACAAGTCATAAATTGTGCATTACACACAGAGACCCATTTTATTAAAAAACCTAGAGTCACCAGACCGGTTTAGAGTTTAAAAAAACTTCATGGTACATGAGATTTTTCAAGGCATTTATCCAATACATTAACAGTAAGAAAACAATCAAAAATTAATTGTGCAAATTCTACTTGTTAAGATAAAAAAAATTAATTTTAGGGGTGTTGTATCACCATAATTTTCTACTTAGTACTACTGCAAATTGCCATGATTATGTATTATATACTTTTAAAAGGCTATCCTTTTTACAAAACAGTCATATGGGTAATCAATAGGGAAAATCTAAGCAACACTGCCACACACTGTTATATCGGCAATAATAAAACTCTTACATTTTAAGGCACCTTTATTGCAGCTTGAGAGGAAATGCCTTTGGTATACTTTATACAGTGGCTTTTCTATCTCATAACAGAAAGAAAGGCTGATTTCAGGCTGGTGTATATATCATTTATTAAAGAGACACTCTAAGCAACAAAACAACTTCAGTTTTGTACATAGTGGTGGTTTTAGTACATAGATCAGAGGAAAGAAACCTATGGCACTTGAGGCTGCCAGAGCCAAATAGGCTCTAGCCTGCCAGGAGTCCCAGTGGAACTTCAGATATTTGCTAGAGCAATCTGAGTGGTGATTGCAGGTGGTAAGGAACAATGCGTAATTTACACACTGCAGCACTTAAAGAAAGTGATCTCAAATCATTTCCTCCCAGCGCTCATGAACAGTATCCGCACTGGAGTAGAGCAGCCCACAGCGCTCCTGCTCATGACCTGTACCTGGCCAGCCCGGTCCCCACTAGACACCAGGGAAGCTAGATATACACAGACCTGTAGAATAAACCTCCCCCTCTCAAATAATACAAACAGACACACAATCCCTACAAACATAAAACCACTAACAATCCATATACACATACAATACACAAGTAGCCTCTCACATGCAATACCACAAGCAACCCCACAAATGCACACACCACCAAACACACAATGTGACATATCATCCACACATACAATTCCACAAGCAGGCCCCATACACAGCCCACATTCAAAGGTATCATACGCAATACCACAAACTGCTCATGAGCATATAAAATACAACAGCCCATATATGCACAAATACAATGCTACAAAACAACCGTAGCACCAATAAAAACACAAGCCGAATACGGAAACATACACCTCAATTTAAAAACAAATAGGACTGGCAAACGAAATAACTGCAAGATCTTATTTTGGCGAAAAACTACTAAGCAGTTGTCTACCCTTGCTGCTGCAGTGTCACTGCTTAAAACACTATAGTCACCTAAACAACTTTTGCTTAATAAAGCAGTTTTAGTGTATAGATCATGCCTCTCAGGTTTTACTGCTCAATTCACTGCCATTTAGCAGTTCAATCACTTTGTTTCTGTTTATGCAGCCCTTGCCCCACCTCCACTGGATATGATTGACACAGCCTGCATGAAAAAAACTTTCAATCAGATGTAATTTACCTTAAACAATTTTATCTCTTGCTCTGTAAATTGAACTTTAAACACACACAGGAGGCTCTTGCAGGGTCTAGCAAGCTATTAACATACTAGGGAATAAGAAAATCTAAATTAAACAGAACTTGCAATAAAGTACGTATAAACGTTGGATGACTCTTTACAGGAAGTGTTTAGGAAGGCTGTGCAAGTCACATGCAGGGAGGTGTGACTAGGGTTCATAAACAGAGAGATTTAACTCCTAAATGGCAGAGAATTGAGCAGTGAAGCTGGAGGGGCATGTTCTATACACCAAAACTGCTTTGTTAAGCAAAAGTTGTTTTGGTGACTATAGTGTCGCTTTTATGCAACTGCCCTAGCTGAGACTCATACATCCTCCCTACACACTTCCTTAAAACGAGTCAAACTTTTTTAGCTTATTGCACAGTGTGTTACATTTTTTACTTTTTTTATCCTGCTCTATTAATAACCTGCTAGAGCCTAAATTCTAAAATAAAGACATAGCCATGGGAGGTGTGGCATGGACTTCATAAACAGAAACCAAGGAATTTAAAGCCGCTCTGTCACCAGCCCCCTCCCTTAAAAAAAAAAAAAAGTGTTTCATAAAGATAAAATCAATAAAAACATTGATTGTGTTGGAATTTCACTGAAATTGTGATTGTTTCGCTGAATGCGAGATAATATCTATGGAGCCTCCCACTGTCCTCCATAGACTTAAGGTTATACTCTTGCACATGCGCGAGAGTACAGCAATTATGTGGGCTCCTGACAGATGAAGCATCAGAAACTGAAGAGAGTCTGCAGTTGGAGATGTCTCTGTCAGCAAGGAACAGCTTAAGGATAAGTAAATCTAATTTGCACTGCAACCCTGGGCCACTGCACACCAGGCAGCAAAATATGCAAAGACCCCAGAAGGTGACAGAGCCTCTTTAATTTCCATATGGCAGAGAACTGAACAGTGGGACTGCAGGAGCATAATCTATGCACCAAAACTGCTTCACTAAAGGGAATCTATAGTCCTGTTATTTGGGAATATAGATTCCCTTATGTCCACTTTCTTTTTAAAGACTACTCATCTAAATTCTAGCACTGGTACTCCTCTGCTGCAGCTGCCCAATCCATGTCCAGTGATGTCAGCATCCAAACTGACATTACCCGCAATCTACTCTAATCGATTTCTTCTCATAGAAGCAATGTATTGGAACTTGGCATGCGTGTCCAAACACCGCACTCCTCCAATCAAATGCTGCCATGAGGAGCATTTCATTCCCAGACCAAGTTTTACTGGGAAGCGCCTTTAGAGGCTGTCAGGAAGACAGCCACTAGAGGTGGATTTACAAAAACCTGCAATGTTTTACATTGCACAGTTAAAACTAGAGGACCCACTGCACCCAGACCACTTTCTTGAAATGAAGTATAGTGTTCATTTAAGCTAAAGTCTGTAAATTCTTAAAATATCCCCTTCACTCTGTGGACGCCATAAAGGAATTCAATAATACTTTAGATTTACATCTATCATGAGCACTGATTTAATAATAAGTGGACATGCAATTTCAGCCTAACCTGAACCTGACTGGGCCCTTGGGACCCAGAAGTTCTGCAGTACACATTGACCTAAAATGCCAACCTTTCCTTTAATGATCCTGCACGGTTGTTGAGAGGCATGACTTCCATTTCCTAGAGACACATATAGGAGCTGGATGGCCTAGCCACAAGTTTCCTGGGACTGTGACACTTTTAAACAAAAAAACAGGGTGGTTTATCAGCAGTTTAGCAGTCTGTCTATAAATGTGTTGTTTAATGAGCATCTAGAAGATTAGAAACCTCTCTCTAACAACACGATGTTAACAATTATAATTACTGAATAAGTTAAAGGAACACTCCAGGCACCAAACCCATTAAAGCCTACTGTAGTGATTATAGTACCAGTGTTCCTCACAAATTATTCAGTTAGAACTGTTTAGGTTGGACTCTGCAGGAGAATCTGGATATCTCTGCTTACGCTTTTGGCAATTGCCATCGTCCCTACATGACCCTGCCTAGCTCAATGTTAGTTGGATTCTCCGGCAGGTCCCAAATAAGTAATCAGACTGTTCTAAAACATTTTGAAAAGGAACTCTGAGAGTGTGCATGGGCATTCCTGGTGTCATAATAATTGCATCTGTCTGTAGTAGTTGTGGTGCTTAGAGTTTTCCATTATAAGGGACACTATAGGCAGCCAGACCACCAGACCACTTCAGCACTTTAAAATGGCCTGGATACACTGCCCCTGTTTCCCCTACTCCTGCAATGTCTAGCTCTGCATGAGGACACTCTGTGGCATGAGGCCTAATGCGCATGTGCAATGGGTCCCTTCAATCGGATGAGGCGGAGGGCAATCCAGTGCTGGAATCGGGTAAGTGAATAAAAGGTTATTTAACCCTTTACATCGCTGGGTGGGAGGGCTGCTGCCATAGACTATAGTCACCAGAACAACTACAGCTTATTGAATTTGTTCTGGCGAGTAGAATCATTACCTTCAGGCTTTTTGCTGTAAACACTGTCTTTTCAGAGAAAATGCAGTGTTTACATTACAGCCTAGTGACAACTTCACTGGCAACTACTCATATGGCTGTTAGAGATCCTTCCTGGGTCATGGCTGCCTAAAATGCATCCAAACATTGTGTCTCCACCCTCTGCATGCAGACACTGAACTTTCCTTATAGAGAGATTCATTGATTCAATTCATCTCTATGAGGAGATGCTGATTGGCCAGGGCTGTGTTTGAATTGTGCTGGCTATGCCCCTTATCTGCCTCCTTGTCAGTCTCAGACAATCCTATGGGAAAGCATTGTGATTGGATCAGGCCACCACTTCTGATGATGTCAGCTGACAGCTTGCTATTCTGAGGCAAACAGCATGCAAAGCTACAGCTTCAGGCCTGAATACAAGTAAGATTGTGCTATATTTAGGGAGGCATGAGGGGCCCAGGGGGGCTAGATGGTGGTTTTAACACTATAGGGTCAATAATGCATGTTTGTGCCCCTGACCCTTTAACAATAAATTATTCCTTTAAGCACAGTATGCATATATAATACTCTCACTGCATACAGGAAGGAAGCCAACAGCATTGTATGATCAGTCACACACCATTAAAATATCTTACATTTTTACTACAGACATTTTGAGACGTCATTGCCTTCTTTTTGTATTCATCACAGTTTATAGATCAAAACATCTAATTTTATAACTTGTAAGATCCAATATGTTTGGGTTCTAATACTAAGTATCTTACTTCTTAATATTTTAATCTATTATTCTACAGTTTCACAGTTTTCTTTAATTTTACCTCCTCATTTGTATACTGTTGTGTACGGAATTTCAGAATGTTTGTAAACAATAGGCACCAAGATACTTCGGGTGGCAGAATGCGAGCAGCTTTCACTGACCTGAAGAGAAAACTGTCCATAAAACACAACTCACTTTACCACAAAGGAAACAAGGAAATTAACAAAACTCAGTTATAATGACAGCACTATGTGTGTCTGAGGACAATGTGTCATCAAGTGTGGCTTTACAATCCTGCGCACAGTGCCGGGAAGGATGATGAGTACGACCCTGCTTAGCAGCTCCTGGATTACCCACACTCTGTGTGTGATTTGAGCAGTTTTTAAAAACTGTGAGGTCACATTGAGGGCTGATCAGGTCTTGGAACATCGTGGGTCTTTTTCCTCTTTTTCTGCTGCAGATCTGAATGTATTGTGAAGTGCCCTACAGTGCCAGGAAGCCATGTACAGGGAGAGATATGCACAAATAGGGCAACTGCCTTCTCCCTCCCATCCATTCTTATTTTACGACTGCTAATCATCTTCTCATTTTGTGGGATTAGGACTGAATTTAAATTCCTTCTGCTGCTTCCTGAATACTTTGAAATAAACATCCTTTAAAAGCAAAAAATTAAAAAAAAGGATCAAGACAGGAAGCTGTATGGGGAATTGCACGTTGTGTATTAATATAGACAGTATATAGAACGCTTTGGCTTTTTCCACTCAGAACGTCTATTATTGTTATTATTGTTGAGACAGTCAAAAGAAGAAAGAAATATCTTAGAAAGAAGTATGTACTTAAAACGTAACTTTTATTATGATAGTCAAGTCAATAAGTAATTTAAAATCCAGAGTAGCCCAGTGATCCTCACTGTTTTTTCTCTGGGAGCCACAGAGGCTAGAAACAGCCAGCAAGAGAGCCACAATTTTATGCAACTGTAATACTTATTAAAACAACATCCTTTTTTAAATTCAATTAAAAGGACAACTGGCTTTAATTACAATTAACACTGAGACTAGAGGAAGGATGCATTCATTTTCTTAATTCCCTTCTTACTGTCTATGTCTCTTTTCCATCTTCTCACCCCATTTATATCTTTTTTTTTTTTATCTCCTCAAACATGACACACGTCTCATTTCCATCTCATCATCCTAATTTATGCCTCTCTTCCATCTCCTCATGCTTAAACTATGTCTCTTAATATACTGCAATCCTACCTGCAGATTTACAGCTTCTCTGTTTTACTCTCAGCTTCTCTCCCCCTGTGTCTTTCCAATTCTCCCTCTGCCTCTCTCAGCACATGCCAAAAATAAGGGCTAAGCAGCTCCATAATTTGCTATCCTTAAATATAGCAATCCCACATAATAGATTTAGGGAGTTATCGACTAAAAAAATAAGAAAATCCATATTCTTAAAAGAACACTATAGGGTCAGGAACACAAACATGTATCCCTAATATGTATAACATTATCTAACTCCCTGCCTCTCCCTTGTCCCCTTAAATACAGTAAAATTGTACCTTTATTCCAGTCTGGTGGTGCTGGCTCTGCCCCTGATCTGCCTCCTTGGCTGACATCATCAGAAATGATGCTTTCCCATAGGTCAGCATTGGATTGGCTCAGATTGTCAATTCTGATTATCCCATTCATGTAGGTAGGCTGAGGGGCAGAGCTAAACTCCACTCTGGCTAATCAGCATCTCCTTATACATATGCATTGAATCAATGCATCTCTATGAGGTAAGTTCAATGTCTCCATGCAGAGGATGGAGACACTGAATGGCAGTGCAGCATTGCTCCAGGAAGCACCTCTAGCGGCCATATAAGAAGGGGCCAGTGGAGGTATCCTTAGGCTGTAATGTAAATACTGCATTTTCTCTGGAAAAAAAGTGTTTACTGAAAAAAGCCTGCAGAGACGGACTATACTCACCAGAACAACGACATTAAGCTGTAGTTGTTTTGGTGACTATGATGTTCCTTTAATTTTGCTCTGTCAGTAGTTTAATAGTTAGCTCCCTGATTTGCTTTTATGGCATTAGGCTGTAAACTATTGCATAGACCTGTTGGATGAAATGGGGCAAAAAAAATTATTTACAATATATAAGAAGTTAGTGTTTCACGATGGCTCCCCTTTAAGCACAATAAGATTTAATACCCATGATTATAATATTATATGTTAGCAGATTAAGGCTTAGCTAATGAGATCTTAAATTTCACATTCTCAAACAAAACTAAACATACTCTAGTCCTCTGTATAATATTACTTGTGGGTGATCTGTACAATAACAACAAAATTGTTTAATATAAAAATAGGTGGTGTAGATTATCCACTCATGGGTGACTTTTGACCATTAAATCAGTGTTCTCCAACCCAGTCCTCATGGACCACCAACGGTCCAGGTTTTGTCAGTATCTCCATTGGAATAAAACATGGAAATACATAAATCCAGGACTGTTGGTGGTCCATCAGGACTGGGTTGGGAGCACTGCACTATATCATTCTTTAATAATATTTTGTCAAGTGCTCAATCATTCCTCTCACATTAAATGCGATTTACTGTTGTCAGCTTGAACTAATCAGGAATTAGGACACTTCCCTATCCTCTCCATCCAGTTATATAAGCAGTTCTGTACCTCCACCTGCTGCTTTTGGTGCTGACTTTTCAGCTGTATGTAATTTTTTAAATAATCATCATAAACTAGTATATTTTAAACCGTCACTCGGATGTCTGAAAGAGGTTTTTTTTTTGTTTGTTTAGTTTTTTTATAGCTTTGCTGTATTCATTTTGCTACAGTGTGGTGAGAGTAGGCTTGTAGCTAGATTCTGTAAAATAAAACTGTCTAATATAGAATGAAAGTAGATATCTGTCTAATCTATTAAATATTAATTCTTACACATATTTACTGCAATCCACACACATACATCTGAATTATAGATACAACTTTCTCTTAGCTTTAATTTATTATAAATTTATATTAATAGTGTTGCAAGAGTGAACACCAACACAACTGCCCATCAAGCACATCCACCCCCCACACAAGCAAGTATTGTAGGACAATATCCAATGTAATTACTTATAAACTTGTACTCACTATTGTCATGCTCCAAAGGATAGCAAATCCCATTGAACACATTAGAGGACAAACAGACATTCATGTGTTAAAATCCAACAGGTTCATTTATCCCCATAAAAACGTTAAAAGGCGGTGGATAGGGGTTTCCGCAGGACTGGAATAGGGACTTGGGCCAAGACCTAACTCGGGAGGAATTAATTAGTATTCCATAATGAGCTCTGTTTGATGTGAGCACCATAATTGTATGAGGAATACCTACTTTTTTTATTGTCATTCATCCCCTCTACAAACAACATCCAGCCCCATCACTACCATGATTGTATTTGTCTTCCAAGAGGACAGAAAGGATAAAAACAACAAACATATGTTTGTTGCTTTTTTTTGCTTCCCCATCTTCTGCTAGCCTCTTTTGTTTTGACTTTAACATGTGGTGTCAAATGACCTGCAATATAAGCTGTGGTTTGGGGGGAAATTATACCTCTACAATTCAATCTTTATTTTTTATTTTTTTGTGTGTCTCAACGTACTCTTTGCTGCTCTCTGACCCGGGCAAATGGGAGTGACCAAATGGAGCTGGGGCAGAGATACTTAGAGAGGCTTGGTAGAGCTGTAAAGCTATATAGGGGGTACTGTACAGGGTATATGGAATGTATGTGATCTAAAATTCACATAATTATCTGCTAGCATTTGAAGCTCACTGAGCATTATGTGAATTGCACTTTACAAGTATCCCAGGTAGATATTGAAAAAGCATGGCACCGATGTAAAATTTTATCCAGACACTATCCCAACACCCCCCTCTGCAGTTTGCATGTATTCTTTTTAACTTTGACTTTTAGAAATAGGGATGTTCATTTTATATGGATGTAGAATGTGTAACTTAAACAAGATATTGCATTATCCTAAGAGGCAGTGGTCCGGTATTTCGACTTTTGGTCAATATTGACTAAATGTTGCCTGAATGCATGAATCCAGTTTTAACCTCAAGGGAAGTCCTAGCACCTATGCTTAAGCAGCTCAAATCATTCTATTGCCAAAACACGTCTAATATATGAGTTTCCAGTTGTTGTCTGACTACTGCTTTTTCTGCCAAACCAATAGCAATATTAAAGTGTCTGGGGAAGGATAAAAACTATTTTTTTTCTTCCATTATGCATTTACTGTGATACAAAACAAATCAGTGATTAATATTCCTTGACTCTAGATATTTTGTATGCAATTAATATAGTCCTTAAAAATCACAATGTTGTACTTACTTTATATATTTCTCTCATTTGTGGTGAAAAAGTTAACGTTATTATATGCTCACATTGTGCCACCTAGTGTCAACTAAATAGTAATAACATCCAACTCAGAAACCTTGTTCATTGCGTAAACATGACTAAATACTACAGTAATAAATATAAGGCTGCATTGTAACAATGTTTGAGTTGTTCACTTAATCTTGTGTATAGGCAACTGCAATTTCATAGTATTAATGCATGGATGTTATATATGCATAGGACAGATATGGAGTATATCAATATAGAGATAAACAATAAGACATAGATAGTTGTGAGATTGTAAGTATTGTATACAGAGCCATGGAAACGTAGGTAGCATGATCTGACCATGCTGGATAATGGAATTATTATGAATGGCTGAGATTTAATCACAGTAGAGTAGTCATATCTGGTAAATATTTGTGTCAGATATATGTTGCAGTGTAACAGTGTATAAACTGCGCAGACAAACATTTTTATTTTGTTATTTTTAAATCTTTGACATGAACTATAATTCACTATCTTTTCAGCCAGTTTGTTCAAAAAGTTTACTAAAATTTTATAAAAACAAATTACCTTTCTGACAGTGCTTGTGTTGCTATGTGTTTATATAGTGTTAAACACAGATGAGATGGCTAAATGTTTGTTTGTTTGTTTATGCATTTTAGGTTTACACATCCTCTGATGCTCAGCTCCAGCATGCACACAACAGGAATTCCTCATCCAGCTATAGTACCTCACTCAGGGAATAAAGATCTGGATAGCTATGAACAAAACATGTAAGTTCAGAATTGCTGACAGTTATGTCTGAGAGCTGCAATTCTAATTTGGACATTTCTATGGCTAGTATACTCAGTGATTCAACAGTGTTGTGCACTCACAGTATATATATTATACTATGTCATAAAACTCCATGGGGAATGTTTAGTTGAGTACCCAGAAATGAATTTTCTACAACAAACCTAAGCTTCCAGAAGTTGTCCCAAATTGTCATACTCCTTGTGTGTGAGGATATGGAGGTCACTTCCTGGTTTCCTAGTTTGAGTTAAGAGAGGAGGTATGTTTGATCTCTCTTCTTCTGCTATCTGGCTTGGCTGTATACTTATTCATACTCAGTCACTCGTGTTACTCAACAAAAAACAGGAGTAGGAAAATCTATCTCAAATTCAACTAAAAGGAGCTTAAAGGGACACTATAGTCACCTGAACAACTTTAGCTTAATGAAGCAGTTTTTGTGTATAGAACATGCCCCTGCAGCCTCACTGCTCAATCCTCTGCCATTTAGGAGTTAAATCCCTTTGTTTATGAACCCTAGTCACACCTCCCTGCATGTGACTTACACAGCCTTCCATGAACACTTCCTGTAAAGAGAGCCCTATTTAGGCTTTCTTTATTGCAAGCTCTGTTTAATTAAGACTTTCTTATCCCCTGCTATGTTAATAGCTTGCTAGAACCTGATTAAAGTTAAATTTAGAGATTTAGATACAATTATTTAAGGTAAATTACATCTGTTTGAAAGTGAAACCAGTTTTTTTTTCATGCAGGCTCTGTCAATCATAGCCAGGGGAGGTGTGGCTAGGGCTGCATAAACAGAAACAAATTGATTTAACCCCTTCAGGACAGAGTCAAGAGTACACGTTCTGATCAAAACAAAACGTAAACAAAAATTGGAATTTGCGCTATATGTCTGTTCAACCGTAATTCACCGCTGTCACGTTAAGTGCACCCACACTTATTATATATCATTTTGTTCAGGAGAAACAGGGCTTTAATTTATCATTAACTATTCATATATGGAACATAATTTATTATGAATAAAATAAAAAAAAAAGTGAGAAAATAAGATTATTTTTTTTTTAAATTTGTATTTCCGTCTGACATTTTAGCTGTTAATGTCATAATACTGTTAGGTTTTACTGCAAACAAATGCACATATTTGTAATCAGCGATGTCTCACGAGTACAACAGTACCCACCATTAACAGGTTTTATGGTGTTTTGGAAAGATACAGGTTCAAATATAGAACGTTCCATTTTCAGATTGAAATTTGCCAGATTAGTAATGTTCCCTTTAAGATGGTGTGGTAGCCCAGGAATGAGAATTACCCCCATAATGGCATACCATTTGAAAAAGTAGACAACCCAAGGTATTGAAAGTGGGGTATGTTTAGTCTTTTTTAGTAGCCACTTAGTCACAAACACTGGCCAAAGCTAGCGTTCATATTTGTTTTTGTGTGGCTACTAAGAAAGACTGGACATACCCCACTTGCAATACCTTGGGTTGTCTACTTTTGCAAATGGTATGCCATCATGGGGGTAATTCTCATTCCTGGGCTACCATACGCTCTCAAAGGCAACATAACCAATCTGGCAAATTTCAATGTAAAAAAAAAACCTATACATGGGGCATACTGTTATTCTCGGGAGACTTCACTAAACACAAATATTAGTGTTTTAACCCCTTAAGGACGGAGCCAAATGTACACGTTGTGAACAAAACAAAATGTAAACAAAACCTGGCATTTGCGCTACATGTCTGTCCAACCGTAATTCACCTCTTACATAGTAAATGCACCCACCCTTATTATATATCATTTTATTCAGGGGAAACAGGGCTTTCATTTAATATCAAATATTTAGCTATGAAACATAATTTAATATGAAAAAAATGGGAGAAAATACAATTTTTTTTATTTTTTTAGTTCTACATGACATTTTAACAGTCAATGTCATAATACTGTTTGCTTTTACTGCAATAAAATACACATATTTGTATTCAGCAAAGTCTCACGTGTAAAACAGTACCCCCTATGTACAGGTTTTATGGCGTTTTTGGGAAGTTACAGGGTCAAATATAGCACGTTACATTTGAAATTGAAATTCGCCAGATTGGTTACGTTGCCTTTGAGACTGTATAGTAGCCCGGGAATGAAATTTACACCCATAATGGCATACCATTTGCAATAATAGACAACCCAAGGTATTGCAAATGGGGTATGTCCAGTCTTTTTTAGTAGCCATTTGGTCACAAACACTGGCCAAAGTTAGCGTTAGTATTTGTTTGTGTGTGAAAAATGCAAAAAGCGCCAATTTTGGCCAGTGTTTGTGACTAAGTGGCTACTAAAAAAGACTGGACATACCCTGTTTGCAATACCTTGGGTTGTCTACTATTGCAAATGGTATGCCATCATAGGGGTAATTTTCATTTTTGGGCTACCATAGGGTCTCAAAGGCAACGTAACCAATCTGGCGAATTTTAATGTGAAAAAACTGAAACGCAAGCCTTATATTTGATGCTGTAACTTTTGAAAACACCATAAAACCTGTACATGAGGGGTACTGTTGTACTCGGGAGACTTCGCTGAACACAAATATTTGTGTTTCAAAACAGTAAAAAGTATCACAGCAATAATATCGTCCGTGTAAGTGCTGTTTGTGCATGAAAAATGCAAAAAACTTCACTTTTACTGGCGATATCATCGTTGTAATACATTTTACTGTTTTGAAACACTAATATTTGTGTTCAGCGAAGTCTCCCGAGTAGAACAGTACCCCCCATGTACAGGTTTTATGGTGTCTCGGAAAGTTATAGGGTTAAATATAGTGCTAGCAAATTAAATTCCCTTTACTTTCGGCATGGGTTGTCAGGTAGGTCTTGCTAATTGTAATTAATTAAGATACCTAATTATGTAAAATTATTACATAAATATATATGTAGAAGGGTCAAATATAGTGCTTGCGAATTAAATTGTGTTGTCAGGCATGTCAGTCAAATTTGAATTAATCAAATCACATAATTATGTTAAAAGATTACTTAAATATACATGTAGAATTTTAATATATGCATTTATAGGTATTTAAATTCTACGTGTATACTAATGTAATGTTTTATGTAATTACATGTATTTATCTATATATATATATATATTTGCGGTTATTTGTATTTTATATATAGAATGTCATTCTAAGTGTATTTTGTTACCAATATATATATATATATATATATATATATATATATATATATATATATATATATATATATATTAATAACAAAATACAGTTAGAATGCAATTACATATGAATATATAATTTATATGAAATTTTGTTTCAATATTTTATTTATTTATTTTATTATTTTATTTATTATTGTAATTATACGTGTGTATGTATATATATATATATATATATATATATATATATATATATATAATATATGTGTGTATATATCTATAATATATATACATATTATATATATGTAACGTCATTCTAAGTGTATTTTAATACTAATATATACTTATATTAATATTAAAATACACTTTGCATGACGTTACATATATAATAGCTATAGGGGGCCATATGATCGCTCTTTGAGAGCGATCACATGGCCCCCGGGGGCCTCATTTGCCGGGGGAGGGATGCCTGGGATGTCAGGCAGCCCTCCAGAAGAGGATTGCGGCGGAGGTAAGTCCACCGGACCTCCTGTGGCTGCAAGTCGTCACGGTGTTCTATGCCGCCGCAACGGCTTTAAAGCCCTTTTAATGCGGGACAGCATAGAACGCTGTAACGGCGTTAAGGGGTTAACTCCTAAATGACAGTGAATTGAGCAGTGAAATTGCAGGGGGATGATCTATACACTAAAACTGCTTTATTTAGCTAAAGTAATTTACGTGACTATAGTGTTCCTTTAAGTAAAATATAAACACCTCATTCGATTACTCCTCGATTTGTAGCTGTTTTGTACTTCTAGAACCAATTATGCTCAGTTGTAACATTTATTTATTTGTAGAAATTACACAGTAGAAATAACAGACTTGCTTATTTTTTATTTCTTTGTTTTCTTTTTGTCTACTATATATTTTATGCACAGGAAACCACATTCTGAACCAAAGAGAGAAAAGGAACCCAAAAAACCCACGATTAAGAAGCCCCTAAATGCCTTTATGTTGTATATGAAAGAGATGAGGGCAAAAGTTATTGCTGAATGCACACTAAAAGAGAGTGCAGCTATCAACCAAATCCTAGGACGAAGGGTAAGGAGGCTTTGAAACTGGAGAAAGAGAAATCACTGGTTTTGTCCTCATAACCTCATCAGACTGTGTCATACCAGCCTGTTTTCAGCTTGCTTAGAGGGATAATATTCACTTAGTGTGGTTTTCCTCCTTCCTTTCTTAGTGTGGTTTTCCTCCTTCCTTTCTTTCTCTCTTTTCTTTACTCTCCCCCTCTTCCATTTTGTATTTGTAAATAGTTCAAAATAGTTTGAATTTAGTCTTAGGTATAGTATCATCTGTGATCTTGTGTTATACAATAGGCACCATAACCACTACAGGTCAGTGGACATAATCCCACTGTTTTTTTGATTGACAAAACAAAGGGTCTCGCTGGCTCCAATTTACTCTTTCAACTTACCAGTGTCAGTTCTACCCAACCTGAATGGCAGTAATTGGCTGAGAACACTGGGGTAGTTTAAACACAGTACTTTAAGTCTATCACTGCTGTCCAGGTTGGACAGAATTGATATTGGCTATGCAGAAGTGTAAATTCCACATTACAATTGTGGCTGGAGAACTGGGTGAGCTGTGGTTTCCAGTAAGAGTTTTAGCAAATTTCCTAATTTCAATTGGCAAGGCAAGAAGACTATAGCAAAATAAACCATGTTTGTGATATCTAATGTAAATGTAAAAATTAAGTAATTAACATGAATTAAAAACATACTTCTGTAAATATCAATACATTTGACATGTGTTTTTTATGGGTAAACATATCATTATTTATTATTTTAAAATCTTTATTTATGAACAGTCAGGTGACACAATAGCAGGCATCATCACAAGCAGTGTAATAGATATAAAAATGATTAAACAGTGCTGCAAGGCCGTCATTTTTGTACAAAATATAAATAACATAAATTAAGCACTAATGCAAACATGTAATGTTGTCAATCGAATAACGAGATAAAAAAAGAATGAGTGTAGAAAGAAAAGAAGGCAATAGGAAAAGTATAAAGAAAGTAAGATAATAAAGGAGTTACAGTGGAAGGTTGGCATGCGCCTTACCCCCTGTAACGAACAGCCTCACATTCCCTTATAAGATTCTCATTTCTGATATGATTTGTTGAAGAAAGACATAGTTTAGTGAACCTGAGCAGTCAACTTGTCCATGAGTTAGGTATCCTTAATCTTGAACTCTATCTCGGCTATACTGGGGGCCTCCGTCTGCCCTATGGACTTATTCCTAATATTTTTAAGTGAATTTGCATTTAAGTAGGTGTTTATTTTAACTCTAAAATTGTGTGCAATAATTTTATAGTATTGGCTAAATTAAATGTTTTTCTTTTCATAGTGGCATGCGTTATCTAGAGAAGAGCAGGCAAAGTACTATGAACTAGCAAGGAAGGAGAGGCAGCTTCATATGCAGCTCTACCCAGGCTGGTCTGCAAGAGACAATTATGTAAGTATAGTACTATACTGCTATCCATCTTACACCACATTATTTAGATTTAATTAAAGTAAACCTATAGCCCCAAAAGTAACAATTGTTGTTTCGGGACTATAGGTTACTTTATAAAGATGTCATCCCTGTTCGCCCCTTTGCTGTGTAAAAATTAAGGCAGAGTTTAATCACCTCATATCCAGCGTTGGGACTCCTCCACTATCGCCTCCAACTCCTCCTCCGTTGATATCAGCATGACCTCACTTGCATTCTCCTCTAACCCATTGCTTCTGATAAAAAAGCATTAGCTTGAAATTAAGCATGCACAGCAAAACGCTGTGATCCTCCAACCAAATTCTGCTATCAGCAGCATTTTATTCCAGGATAGAGTTCCACTGAGATGAAGCGGTCTTTGTGACTTTAACCCCTTAAGGACCAAACTTCTGGAATAAAAGGGAATCATGACATGTCACACATGTCATGTGTCCTTAAGGAGTTAATGGTCATTTTAAATATGCAACTGTTTCAGAATAGTGTTCACACAAATGGCTTATTAGACTTATGAGTAATGACTCAGGACATTCTGTTCATACTTTGGTGTATGTTTTAAACTTGGCTATTTTGACCTAAATTTTGTACGTTCAGAGCTATGTTCACCACAGTTAACTTATTAGTGAATAAACTCATGGGTTTTTTTGCCATTTAAAAAGGTTTGCCATGAGACTCGTATCAAAATATAGTTTTAAAGTTTACTGTCATCATTTAAAATCATGATCGCTTGCATTGATCTGCTATTTTTATTCTGGACCTGACAGACATGAGTTAATTTCATTGAAACCAGCCTTTCTTTATAAAAAGGGATTGCTGCTGATAAATTAGACAGAGGAAATGGAAAAATCAAAGCAGTGCATGCACATTAGGGTAGGGTGTGAGAAAATCTTTCTTCATGGATAATTTAAAAGGTTTCATAGGGAAGCGCAAAGTCATATCTAATAGTTTTTTGTACTTAACCCTTAATTAAGAACCACTGACACTTTGACATTGTGTTTCCTTTTATTATACATAAACTAAATATAAAACTAAATTACATTTAATGTGGGTTGTGGTTTGGTGGACAAATAGATACTAATCAGTTGACTTTATAATACAATTTTTTGATATGTGTTGCGATTTAAGTAACATCAAGCATATTGGTTAAATATTTATATTTCAACAGAAAATTTACATTTTTTTTGTTTGTTTGTTTTGTTTCGTTTGTCTTTTTTTTTTTTTTTTCAGGGGAAAAAGAAAAGGAGAACCAGAGAAAAACATCAGGATACAAATTCAGGTAAGATTTCCAGAAGAGGGTGTGTATAAACAAATGGCAAGAATAAAGATTCAAATTATAATAGTCTTCTGTTTTACAAATAAAAAAAAGTAGAGAACATTAAAATTAAGTCAATATATGCAAATATGTTTAACTTGGCACAATTAAGTCCACGTCTGGTATGCTAATAAACTTGTAACTAATAACAGTAGTTATTGAATGTTTAGCATCTTTTACATACATCTGTATAGAGAACTGCTGCTGCTGATCTTTGTATTATCAGTCTTTTAAGTCATATTATGTCACACTAAAACAGAACTGCGTTTGTAGGAACTCAACAAACCAATAAGGGGTAATCCACGAGTTTCCACTAATTCTACTACATTAACTGTGCCTCTTTGGGGCATACCCAAAAAATGCAGCAGCAGGCGTTTTTATTTGGAAAGAATGTTCCTCTTGAAGAGTACTTTAAAAACCGTGTACAATCATTTTTGTTTTGTTTTTCCCTTCTTTGTTTACATTAAGCGCCATATTACTAGTCTATTATATTAGGGGATTTTTTTTGGGGGGGGGTTGGCTCAATATTAAAAGCAGATCTACAAAAGCTGATTTGCTGCTGTTCCAAATGTAAATAAAAAATTAATTATGCAGTATCACCCTATATTATTTGTACAGGTTAAGAATAGTGTATGGTAGGTGAGTTTTTTTTATAGAATTTTGGACCCTTCAGATAATATTTTAAGGCATGATCACATTTTAGCTCATGGGGTAAAAAAGGTCTATGCCAACTCGGTGCTGAATTATTGATTAGCATGAGGTGGAGACCTATTTTTTAATAGTTTTTCTTCTAATCTATACATTTGCTAGCAATTCGTCTAGCACACTGAATATGTAGAATATAATTACTTATATAGTGATCAACCACAATAATAAAACCACCCCTTGTGCAGCCGAACAGCTCTGATTTGTCGAGGTATTGGACTCCACAAGACTTCTGAATGCGTCCTGTGCTATCTGGCATGAATACATTAGCAGCAGATCCCATTGGTGTTGCAAAGTTCGACCTCCATGGATCAGATTTGTTGTTCCAGCACACCCCACAAATGCTCAATCGGCTTAAAATCTGGTGAATTTGGAGGCCAAGGCAACACTTTAAACTATTTGTCATGTTCCTCAAACCATTACTGGACAATTTTTGCAGTGTGGCAAGATGCAGTATCTTGCTGAAAGAGCCATTGCCATCAGGGAACATCATTGCCATGAAGGGGTGTAAGTGGTCTGCAACAATCGCTAAGTAGGTGATATGTATCAAAGTAACATCCACATGAATACCAGGACCCAGGGTAACCCAGCAGAACATTACCCAGAGCAAAACACTGCTTATGCTGACCTGCCTTCTTTCCATAGTGCATCCTGCTGCCATTTCGTCCGTTGGTAAACGATGAACCCGCATCCGGCCCTCCTGATCTAAAAGAAAACGTGATTCATCAGGACTGGCAACCTTCTTCCATTGCTCTGTGGTCCAGTACTGATTTTCATGTCTCCATTGAAGACACTTACAGAAGTCATCAGTGAACAGAAGTTATCATTGGGCATTCTGATTGGTCTGTGGCTACGAAGCCCCATACGCAGCAAACTTCGTTGCACTGCACTGTGTTTTCTGACACCATTCTATTGAATGACACCATTCTATTCTATATGACCAGAATTCCTTTTTTCAGCAATTTAAACTACAGTAGCCCTTCTGTGTAATCAGACAATATGGACTAACCTTTGATCCCCACATACATCTGTGTCTTGAGCGCCCATTATCACGCAGTGCATCTTAGTTTGCTGCATATGGGGCTGTGTCAGAGTGCCCCTGATGACCCCGTTCACTGCCGTAATCACCTTTAATTGGGACGTGCGCATCAGAACTGGACAATGAAGCAATGGAAAAAGGTTGCCTCGTCTGATGAATTACATTTTATTTTATATTAGGTGGATGGCTCTTTCAACATCTTGCACCAATTGAGCATCCGTGCGATTTGCTGGAACCCACCTTGCAACCTGCATGACTTAAAGGATCTGCTGCTTACATCTCTGTGCCAGATACCACAGGATACATTCACAGGTTTTGTCGAGTTTATGCTTCAACGCATCAGAGCTGTTTTGGCATCACAAGAGGGACCTACATGATATTAGGCAGGTGTTTGTTTTGTTTTTTTTATTCTTTATTTTTCTGTGCATAAAAGGCAGTTACAGATGAATTTGCAATGGCATGACAGCATAGACAAATAATGTAATGGAAAACAGTGAGATATAAGGGCATGATATAGAAAATCATTGCACATTTTTATATTAAAGGTAGGAAAGAAAGATTTTTGTTAGTTAATGTAGAAACAGGAACATGTTAGGCAGAAACTACACAGGATTGGTATAAGACAGAAAGAAGGACACCACCAGTTGTTTAACTGTGCTCGCTGAGTGTGCAGTATGCAAGCTAAGCTAAACTGCCAGACTGGGCACGGGTAGCTAGATGGTAGCTTATTCAACCAATACTCATAGCACTCAAACAAAGTCCAGGACGGTATAAGAGGGTAGCCTCCATGGATTCTGCGGTTTGCCACAGCACTCCATCTCCCATGACTCCAAACTTCTCTCTTTGCAATAAGATAGAGTTCACGAGACTGCAGAGAGGTATAATTTCCACAGGTACGCATCACACATGTGCAGGCTGAGCAACAGGGATCGGTAGTGCTGTTTGCTGACTCTGTCTCCTCAACCTCCGCCAGAACCGCCGGCATATCGCTTTAAATATTTTGTTAAAGTATTCCTCCCAGCTCTGCACCTCAGCTTGTGGAGCTGCAGACAGGTGAGTAATTGGTGCCTGGTGGGGATTGGGATAATCCCCACCTGTCCAGTGGGAGGGGGGGGGACACGGGGCTCTGAAAATCCAATTAGGAGTATCAGACAAGCTTGCCAGTGTGGGTAAATCCATCAAGAAGCGATTTTCACCCTCTAATTAGCTTTTAGAGCAGGATCAAGCAGGAGCCCAAGCACTCTGCGACCATCCGGTATGGCGTCCAGGTCCCGCTCCTTGGCAGGTGGTTTTATTGTTGTGACTGATCAGTACATATCTAACGCCCCTTGACAAGTGCCATTGTAACCATGTAATCAATGTTATTCACTTCACATGTCATTTATGGCTGATCAGTGCATCTGCTGTTTTATGACTTATGTTATAGTTTTGATAATAGCATGAGGCCAGCATTCTGCTTAAAGGACCACTATAGGCACCCAGGCCACTTCAGCTTAATGAAGTGGTCTGGGTGCCAGGTCCATCTAGGGTTAACCCTGCCTGCTGTAAACACAGCAGTTTCAGACATAGCAGTTTTGAGATTGGCTGAATGCGCTCGCGGCTCTTGGGGACATAGAGGGTGAGGGGGACCCAAGGACCCTATAGAGCCAGGAAAACTAGTATGTTTTCCGGACACTATAGTGGTCCTTTAATAAAGCAAACTGTAAAATAATTGATTTTTGGAGTCTTGCAGCAGAGGAGTCTATGTAGCAAACACTATTTATTGCCTTGTTACTTGTTAAATGTTCCTTTAAAAATGTATTGGTTAACTTGCGGTTAGATTAAGGTTTTCTGACTGAGCCTGCTACTGTATTTTAACAGGTGTTAAATCCATGCCTAAGAAGTGGGGTTATTAGATTAGGATGCACACTCCACTTTAATATTCTGCTAATCCACTAAGTGTGGAGAAATGTACATGGCACATTAAAGCGCTCCCTATTAATTCTGCTGACAACAAGTTGGGCTCAGTAATGGCTAGGATGTCTGTCAGATGCTTAGGCACTGACATCAGAAAAATAAACCTAGTCAGTGAAGTATGCATGTATGATCAGTGCTAGAAGAAATGTATACACAAATTGTTAGGCTACATACAAGCAGGCCAATAAGAATGGTAGACACAAGAAGAAGAAAAAAAACACAGCCTTCTTACTGTTTTGTCACAATTATATTTTAGAGTGTTGCTTTTAAATATGTTGCCAAAATAATGCAAATTAAATATATATTCACTGTGATAAATGTATGAGGCTGAGTGTATTTGAGATGTCATGAGTTAAATCTTGTAGGTGATCTCTAGAATATACTTTTGAAATGGACAGCAGCAAATAAACCCTTTGTAACTTAATACAATCCAACTACTACTAGGGGCTATGGTGTTTTTAGTGTTCCTCCAAGTTCTGCCTATGTTTGGTGTAAGAATCACATTATTAAAGCAGGAGTAGATGCTGTGCGTGCGTTTTTTGTTGTTGTTGATTGGGTTTTTTTTATTTTTTATGGGGGTCTAGTGGAGACAAAGTGATTTTCAACCATTGCACCCTCTGAACCAAGTCATATGCATGCCTAGATTGGCCTTGTTCTTGCCATTCACCATAGCATTTTTGAGACAGTTCCACACTAAAGGTAACTAGTAAAACTGAAATGAGTTGGTTTACAAGGAAAAACCGTGTACTTTGGGTAGAGACCAAATTCAAATTGGACAAAAGTGGTAAGTAGAGTGCCTCAGGGTTCTATCCTGGGTAAACTTATCTTTATTATATTTATAAATTATCTTGAAGTGGACATTGAAAGTCATTTGTTGGTGTTTGCAGATGACACAAAACTAGGTAAGATAATACAGTCTGAACGTGATATAACTTCTTAACAGAGGGATTTGGATACATTGGAGGACTGGGCAGTCAGATGAGATTCAATATAGATAAATGCAAAGTCATGCATTTTGGAATAAGGAACCCATAAGCCACTTATACATTATATGGGGTTGAGTTAAGGATAACATTAAATGAAAAGGACTTGGGACCAATTTTGCCATTGCAAAAGCTAGTAAAGTGCTTTCCTGATTCAAATATAATTTTGCAAGAGCACTCTGCGCAGCTCAAATGTGTCAAATGAAGTGCTCACACTGTGCCTTTATAGGATTTGGTAACACTATAAAACAAACCTGGGTCAGTAGGACAGGACTGTTGATAGGTAAGTTCACCACTTTCACTTACACAACAGAGCAAACCTAGCCTACTGTGTTTTTGCTTTGTATAATCCATACATAAACAGACTCTGACAAAATAATATGTTTGCTTGGTCTCCCTCCTCTTTTACACTTCTGCATTACAAAAAGGAGTCTTTGGGGTTTAAAGCCTTTGGACTGCTTAAAACCCAAGATGTAGTCACATCTCCAGCAACTGCTACCATTACATCATCATTGTGCTGTAATTTATTAAAAAGAAAATAAAAGGAAAGGGTGTGCCTTAAAGGGATGGTATTAAAAAAGTACTTTATATAAGTAGATAATAAAATATAGTCCAAGTAACTTAACACTAGTCCAATAAAGTGGATCCACAGCAGTAGGGAGAGTTTTTGTGGAACGGCAGATAAAGGACGGTGACGAGTGTAGGCTTGTAGTCCAATGGAACATGTAGGGAAGAAACAAAAAGAACGGACTCCAATGGTACAGTATATAGATGCACTTAAATATTCGGATTATAATAATAAGGAACCACTCACAATATCCAGAGCTAAAATCCAGCTCTGGTGTGGAATGTGTGAAGTGGAATGATCCCCACTCAAGGATATATGGAGTACTTCCAATTATTAGATTTATATGACAGTACGGTAGTCCAACACCAGAGTGGTCCAACCCAGAATAAAAGAAATAAAATATAGTGCTCACTGTATCTTTTTAAAATAAAAAGATAAAAATATGAAATATAGTCACAGTATATTGAGCAGGCTCACTGCTCGATGAATAGCATATGGGTGGTATAATCCCCACCTAAGGATTCTTTGTGCTTCTTTTAGGAGATGAAACATAATGTCAGGTCAGGATATTTAAAGTAAAATATAAAGTGAAAGAAAGGAATATGGCAACCAAAGTATATAAAGCCAAAAAATTCCTTTCTTATCAGAAATTAAAAGGTTTCTAGATGCGTTTCCCTGAACAGGCTTCTTCAAGTAGAAACTAGTAAAAACCTTACATACATGGTTTTATATTGGATACATTAATTGCATTGAGATTTGAATATTCCCGCCATAATAACGTCATAATCTTAATAGAAAGATACATAATAAAAATGTAACTTTGCAACATGGTTAAAGGTAAGTAAACTATTAGGGTATATTATCGAAGGTTATTTTTAATATTATTTAATAAAAACAAGACTTTAAAATGCTTAAAATAGAGTATAAAGAGAATCACATGACGCACAGCTTGTTACTTCCACGTCATGTGATCTCGGGTGGAACGCATGCGTCATAGATAGGCGGGACTCATCTGTGATAAGGAAGAGAGAGCGGAAGCTGAGCCGTCAGAGAGAGAATCGTCGCGTCACCACGACGGAGGAGCCTCGTGGTGGTAGCGACGAAGAGATACATTTGCCGATATGCTGTCTGGTCAACTTGGCAGAACAGACAGCATAGGCAAACATATGTCAAACGGGTCACAGGATCAAGACCCGAAGGGAGTGCGGAGAGCAGACTGATCTCCTGCACAATTAGTAAAACGAAGCATAAATATAGTACTCAAAAAATATATACATTAAAAATATAGTACGTTAAAAATAATAAATTATTTACATTACATTATAGTACATTAAAAATAATAAAGTAAATATGGTACATTAAAAAATTATGCAATAACAGATTTGACAGACTTGTATAACAATATATAAATAGAAAAGGCTTTTACAAAAGCAGATATATGTAGTGCACAATGATATAGGGATATGTATAATAAAAACAATAGAATAACATCAAATAGTGTGTGCATATTGGTGCAAAAGGATTAAATGAGACATTGTAATATTTGACATTTGTGAATAGTAACATATATAAATAAGAAAATGAGTATAGCAGAGAGTATAACTGAGAGTTTTAAAATAAAAATATATGGGTAAAAATGAATAAATGAAAAAGTAAAAATATGAATAAATAGTAAAAATGAATGAAAATGAAATGTAAAATCTGTAATCAGTATTATTATAAAAAAGGGCCAAGTTTATATTTAGACCTTGTGGGGCAAGAGTCTTTAGATTATATGCCCATTTCCATTTCTTTGCTCCCTAAAATCTTTTTTATATCTCCTCCTCTCTATGAGACACTGCATGTATCTATGCCTATGCATTAAGGATATTTAGGATTTTTACTGTGTTTTAAAAAAATGTCTTGATACTAAGTGGTTCTCATAACCTTTTGTAATAGTCCTGCAGTGTTCTGCCAGTCTGGTCTTAAGATTTCTGGTGGTTATGCCAACATATAGGAGCCCGCACGGGCATTCCAATAAATAAATTAAATTTTTTGTATTACAATTGATTACATTTTTTATAAAGTACAGAATGCTGAAGTGTTTTATGGGTGTAGAGTGGTCCTTGAAATTCTTTGCCAGAAGTGTGAGATCTGATGTCTGCAAGTCACATGGTTTAGCATTTTTCTTTTTTGAGATTATTTTTGCTATTTGCAAGTGGTGAACCGTCAAGAAAATTGCAGAATTCAAGTTGTCAATTTACCACAATTCACTGTTTAGTGAATAAGCTCAAAATATGTGGTTCTCTTCTTAAACTTTTTTAAATTAAATTGTAGCACACATTCTTTGCTCAAGATATTCTTAACAACGCATGGATTGATTGAAATGTAAACTGCTTTTTTTTTTTTTTTGCTGTTCTTGAACTTTTTGACTATGGCATACCAGCTTGTTTTAAAATAAATTTAAATTGTCTGCTTGCTATGGTGATGCACACAATTTAACACATGCTAGTGCTAAATGACCAAATGTTAATTCGTCAAACTGTACTGTTGTGAGCAACCAAAGTACTGCAGCATGCACTTTATGATATTTGATTACTCAATGTATATGTATAGTATGTTAAAACAATTGAAGGAACACTTCTAATGTTAAAAAAAAACAACAATATTTAGTTTTAAGTTTGCGGTGCTCCTTTACCATTTTGATCCCAGGCCACCCCTCTCCACGCTGCTCTGCTCAAACCCCAGGAGTCTGTCAGTGATGACAGTCTCCATTTCCTCTTTGGACAAAGTTGATGCATGGACAGCTATTGGCATCAATGCACCAAGGAATTGTGTCAATAACCCAATATAATGCTTCTCATAGGGAAGCTCTTACTATCTCTATAATGACTCATTAGAGTGAATCAGAAAGCACTCCTAGTTGTTAGCTTGGCTGCCAGGGGTTGTTCCTAAAGTAGAACATAAAAGTGCTGATTTCTCTTGAATTCTGTAATTTTATGAATGGGGACAGAGGAAACATGCAGTTAAGCCCTAAAACGCATCAGCATGCTGGAGTATGTTAGGGGTGTGGGGTGTCCCTTTAACAAAAATGACTACCTATACAGACCACAATAAATTGAAACTATGAATGTATGTTCTGGGATGGAATTTTCGTTTAGATTTGGCTCATCCTTCATTTATATTGACTCATCCTCCCATCATATCCTGTTTAAGATTGAAGAAGCAGATTTTGGGCACAGTACTGAGCTATTTATATAAAATAGCTATACTCAGTATGCAAGAATGACAAATACCCATGTTTGGAAGTCACAAGCTCCCCAGCATGATGACTGCTCCAAACACAAAGTATACTTAGTGACTTTTTCTTATTGACACTACTATTTACTTTTCAGGGGTGCTTACTATATGTGGCCAGTTTGCACTTATGCATCTTTGTGTCTACATCTTACAGTTTTAAGTGCCTAAATTTTTGTTGCATCTTTTCTTCCCTTTTTGTGCGGCTTTACCTTCCCCTGCGCATGTTTCTATACTCAGACCCTGGCTCCCCTAAGAAATGCAGAGCTCGCTTTGGCCTCAACCAACAAACGGACTGGTGCGGCCCGTGCAGGTGTGTATCCATAAAAATATCTGCTTCTTTTGCACTCTGTCTTTAACTCTTTTGCATGCTTTTAGCTATCATAAGTCTTGCTCACTTGTGTCAAATGGTAATGCCAACTCCCCAATAGTTATTCTGTGGTGTTTTAATCTTTTTTATTAGGCTCAAGATTTATAGTAGATATTTGTGGCAAATTCTGGTTAAAAATCAAGGTCCAATAAAAATAAATAAATAAAACAGATCATATGTGCAGCACACAAGGCAATGTAGTTTTTGGATATTTGTTTTTAGTTTTTAGCCAGATATTGTCCTAAACAAATATGAAACTAACCTGCATTTCTTTACTTTAAATTGTATTAAAAAAAAAATATTCACTGCATATAACCAACAGTAGTAATCCATAGGATATAAATGTTTCAGTAACACTCCACTACAATCTGCTGTGGTGTAAACAATATATATATTTTTTTAAATTAACCAATTAATGTATTTTATACAAATTGTCAAATTTAATTAAGATCTAATTCATGGACTTCTTATCACATTTCTTTGCAAATGATCAATACAAAGTGTCTGTTCTGCTGTATACATAGTACATTTTTTTCCAAAAATAGGAAAAGATTGGTGCTAATTTTCACCACCTGGGCAGCAAGACAAGGTCAGGGCAAATTTTTGCTAACTTAGAAAATAAATTTAAAAAGAAAATGACTTCTCTTCTTCTTGGTATGCTTTCTCTATGGTGACCGCCAGGTGCAAAGGGCAAATCCTCTAACAGTGACTGAACGGGACAAGAGAGAGGCATTCAATTGTAGGATTAAAGTGTCCGTGTCACTTCCATTTAACTTTTTCCTCTTGCTTTCTCTTCTCTTTCTGAACGTTCTTATTTTCTATTTCTGATCTAGTTCTCTTTGAAACATAAGATATAGTAGCGGCTACTGTGTCTTATGTATTTTTTTCTACAATTGTCAATCTTGACAAAGGGTGGAGCTTAAGACAAACTTCCTTTTGTTCAGGGCCGGTGCATGGATATCTGCCGCCCTAGGCACAGATCCATTTTGCCGCCCCCTCATGAAAGCAAATACAATCTCAGAGGTTTATTCACTAAACTCTGAATTGCAGTGAGTTGAAAATCAAATTGCAAAGTTTAAGCAAAGACAGCTCAGCTGTGACGGTAGCTGAATTGGAGAATTCTTCTAGATCAGCTAGTTTGGCCTAAATTTGTCATATGGTTTCCAGTTAGGTCTACCTAATACACACATACTGCTTCATGCGTACATCCATAAACACACACTGCTTAATACCTACATCCATACACACATACTGCTTCATGCCTGTATCCATACACACATACTGCTTAATGTGTACCTCCATACACACATACTGACTAAAACATGCATCCATACACACATGCTGCCTAATACATGTATCCACACACACATATTGCCTAATACATGCATCTATACACACATACTGCTTAATACCTACATCCATACACACATACTGTCTAAGACATGCACCCATACACACATACTACCTAATACCTACATCCATACACACATACTGCTTTATACATGTATTTTACATTGAATACATCATTTATTGCTGTGATAAATGATGTATTCAATTCATTTGGTGAATTTAATTTATAATGAGACTAGCATAGATGAGCACACACACTTACAGACGACCATACACTGACAAATGAGCACACTCACTGACCGACACATACACATACTGACCTACACATACTGACAGACACACTCACTGACAGACAGACACACTGGCAGGCACACACACTCAGTGACGGACACAAACACACAGACACTCACTCACAGACACTCACTGAGAGACACGCACACACACTCACTGACAAACATACACTCACTCACTTACACACATATTCACTGACAGACAAAAACTCACACAATTTAATTTTAATCCAGCCTCCCTACCTCCCTGGGGTCCAGTGTGGGGCAGCTCCTCACGCCCGCTGTTTAGTATGCCGGGGCCAGAATGACGTCATATTTTTGCTACCGGCATCACAGAGCGCGCGTGAGAGAGGACTGAGAAGCTGGAAGATCAGTCTCCCACGCTGCCAACACTTGTCTGCCTTCTCCCCCGGCATTTATCGGCATAGCAGGCGCCTGCCATCTGGGTAAGCAGTTGTCCGTTTCGGGGGTGCTCTAAGGTACCGCCTGGGCCCTCTGTGACAGGGCTTCTCTTGGCTCCTACACCTTCGGGCACATGGAGGATTTGCCCAGCGCTCAAGAGCTGCTCGCCCAGTGCTGCGGCCCAAGACAGGGGCAGCCCACTAGGAATGCCTAATTCGCCGGTTGCACTGGCCCTGCTTGTGTTAGCTTGACAGAGGAAGTGAAGCTTGCCTTAAAAGAACACTAAAGTGTCAGAAACACAAACGTATTCCTGGCCATATAGTGTTAAAACCACCATTTAGGTGGCTTGCCTCCCTCTTAGCCTCCTTAAAAGATAATAAAACATATCTTATTTCCAGCGCCGCAAGGGTCCGCTAGCGCTGGGCCCGGCCTGATCCACCTCCTTGCTGACATCATCAGAATTTATGATTTCAGCCAATCCAATATTTTTCTAAAATAGAAAGCATTGGATTGGCTGAAATCCGCAAGGGGGCTGGGCCAAATGCTGGCCTGGCCAGTGAGCACCCCCTCATAGAGATGCATGGAATCAAATCTTTATTTTAATTTTTTTCAGAGCTTGAAAACAATTTAATGAAGTATGGATAGGCTGCATTCATAAATGCCTTAGTCCATACCCAGTACAATAAACTGAGGCGTAATTTGTGCATAGAGTGCCTTTTTAAAAGGACAGTCCACTACCCAAATGAAAAGAAAAAAAGTCACTGTTTAGTAGAAATACACCTTCCCCCCCCTCTCCTCCAAATATTACCAGTGTGGACAATCTTGCTAAGGATCATGCATACTATAGGATGACTGTGTATGACTGGCCACCATGTATATAATAATAAGATAAATAGGCGTCTTGTATGTAATGGAGAGATAAATGGTTAATGTGTGTTGTTTCTTTGTTTTTATTTGTCCTAAGAAATCGGAAAGGAATTTAAAATTTTAGAATAAAATAGCCAATTTGGTTTGAGGGGGGAAAACCGTTAGACCAAAGTGCTTGAGCTGGAAATAAGTTTGAATAATTGCTAATATTTTTTTATTGGCTGTTTTTTTTCTAAAATTTTAAATTCCCTTCCGATTTCTTAGGACAAATAAATTCTGTTTAATTATGTAGATGGTAGAACTCATGCCACAACATGTCACTGGTGCTGGATTCACGACTTTCATATGCTCTAGTTTTATTCTGTAGAATAAAACATTTTTATTGATTGGTTTTTTGCTTGTTTGTTTAACTAAGTGCAGTACATTACATTTAAATTATGGGATACTCCAAAAAGGAAACATACCACATTATAGGAATTGTGGATTTAGGCTGAAATAGCTAAAGTGGAAAAACATGATACTTAGTTAACTTTCTAGCTTTTGCTGTTTTATTAGCAACCTTCATTATTGCAGATAATCTGGGTCCAGGCATAAGGCAGTGGTTGCATTATGTTATCCTCAAAATGTTTTTCTTAATTTGGATTCTGGACTTTTCTATGTGTACAACTCTGTCAATCAATGTCTGAGTTGATTGCACATCCTTGGCAATTGCAGGGTAATGTGCCATTGGTCAGTTGTCAGACTCTGATTTGACATAGAAAAATTGTATTTTGTTACCTGATAAATATATCCCGTTTCAGCAGCATAAATATGACAACTTTGTAAAAACCCCTCTGACCAAAGTGTGAATTACTTTGTTAGCATCTCATTATTTACATTGAGTATTAAAGGGTTACTCCAATCACCATGACTGCTTCAGTGATTTGAAGTGGTCATGGTGGTAGGAGTATGTATTTTTTGTGTATGTTTTATTGCAAATCAAGGGAGGGACCTTAACCATAGTGCCAAATAGGGGATATTAAATAGGAAAGGTCCCCCCCACCCCGCTCAATAGGCTTGGAGTAACCCTTTCATCAAATTAAGTATTCTAGAAGTTCACATACTGTTTCAACAATGAAAATGAATGCAAGCTTACTTTGTATAGAGATATATGGTAATTCTTTTTTTTTTTTTTTTAATATAAATTCTTTTATTCAATTTCTTACATAGATACAAATATCAACATGACACCACAAATCACATAACATCTATTGAACCATTAAAACAATCACAATAGACAAACACATTACACTGTTATCTGCGGGATCGGGCTATTATAAAAATATGTCTTAGCTCAGGACTCTTACTCTTCAAACATTACCAGATCTAATGGTTATCTAATTAATTTATATAATAGGTTCTATTTTATTAACCCATCTTTGCCATAGATCCCTTCTCTTTGGGGAATTCAAATACGGTATACTTAGATCTCTTTCCATCCTCATCTGAAGGATGATTTGATCTTTAATGGCCTCCCAATAAACTGCTTGATTAGATTTCCAGTTCCGTGCAAGAACAATTTTAAATGCAACAAGACAACGAATTATAAAACAACTATTTATATATGACATATTCGACATATAAGACTACCTCTGGTTTCTTTTCTAATTCTATTCCAGTGTTGTCTTTAATAAATCCTATCGTTCTCTTAATAGAGGTCTGAATGTTTGAACAACTCCACCAAATGTGGAGAAATGAACCCTCCTCTTTATCGCATCTCCAACATCTAGAGGTGACTCCAGGGTACATCTGAGAAAGCTTGCTAGGAACCAAATACCATCTATACATAACCTTGTAATAAGTTTCTAATAAATTTAAATATTGGACCTGTCGACGAGTATTATTTATAGCTTTACACCAATCTTCTTGTTCTAAGGAACACTTCAGATCTTTTTCCCATTTGGTCCTCTGGGGAAAATTAACTGCCTCATTAGTATTTCTAGTTATCTCTATTGCTTTAGCTAAAACTTTCGGTATATTCTGATTTGAAAATATGCGTTTTATCATTTTATGCGCTTTTCCAGAATTATTATTAAGATGTTTCTGCAGAAAATGTTTAAGCCTCAAATATGCAAATAACTCTCGTTGAGGAAGATGGTATTTTTGTACTATAATATCAAAAGGCAATATTTTATCTGAGTTTAATATCTTTGAAACTTTATTTATTCCTTTAAGTCTCCAAGTTTCTAGAGATAAATCTTTCATATTAGCTTCTACTATCCTTAAATTTGCCGTATCCATAATTGCATATTTGAGGCCTATTTTCTTTTTAATTTCCTCCCAGACGGGCAACATTTGGGCCCATATAATATTATTTTTTTATATCTATCTCCATATTATCTAGAGTTTTCGTATTCCATAGCAGACCTTCTGGATTTTTTAGCCTCAGATCTTCCATTTCAATACTAAACCAGCTTTCTTCTTGAACTGTCTCCATCTGGGACCTATACATATGATTGATCACATTTGCCCAGTATATAACTCTTCTATTAGGAAAGTTTAAACCTCCTTCCTTAGTCTTTAATGATAGGATGTTTCTATTTATTCTATTTTTCTTACCCTTATTAATGAAATTTTCCAAGTTGTTTTGTAATAACGTCAACCATATGTCTGGAATCCTAAGTGGAATCATCTGAAATAAATAACTCCACTTAGGAATAATATAAGAATTGATAACATTAATACGGCCCCACCAAGTAATCTGCATATTTCTCCACTCTTTAAGTAATAAATTTGTACTTTTTAATAGATTTAGAAAATTTTCTTCCATCATCCTCTCTATATTTTTAGTAACCAATATTCCTAAGCAATTAAATTTCTGAGGTGCCCATGTAAATCCATATTGATTACTAATTTCCTCTCTAATCTTCTTGTCTAATTCAATACTCATCACAACTGTTTTTTCATTATTTAATTTATAATTTGCCAAATGGCTATACACTCTAACTTCCTCCATCAGATAATTCAAAAAACTAGCTGGTTCAGTAATTGACAAGAGGATATCGTCCGCATAGAGACTTATTTTAAATTCTCTATCTCTTATTCTATATCCTTTTATATCTACATTTTTCCTAATATTTTCCACTAAGTGCTCTATTGAAAGAACATATAATAATGGCGAAAGTGGACATCCTTGTCTCACTCCATTATTTACTGATACCCAGTCTGAACAAATATTTGGGCCTACTATTCTAGTTGAAGGATTTTTATATAGAGCCATAATTCCCCTTAACAGCCAGCCTTCTATTCCATATGCTTCTAGAGTTAATTCTAAAAACTTCCAGTTTAACCTATCGAAGGCTTTTTCTGCATCAACTGCTAAGGTCATAAGAGGAATATGTTTCTTATTAGCATTATCAATTATATCGATGATTCTTCTTGAATTAGAGCCTATCCATCTGTCTGGAATAAAACCTATTTGATCATTGTGGATGAGCTTATTAATGATACTCTTAAGGCGTTCTGCCAATATAGATGAGAATATTTTAACGTCTGAATTAATTAGAGAGATAGGACGATAACTGGCCACAATAGTTGGATCTTTTCCTTGTTTCAGGATGGGGAGCATATTAGCTCTAGTCATCTCTTCAGGGAAACTTTGAACCGCATTATTAAACGTTGATGCTAATTGTTTACTCAAAATAGATTTATAAGTATGAAAAAACAATTTAGAAAATCCATCTGGACCTGGTGTTTTTGACTTCTGGGTTTTAGATACAGCCCTATTCACCTCAGCTTCTGTAATCGGATTATTAATACTTTCTTTCTGAATCTGATCTAATTTAGTTAGATTTGTACTAGTTAAATACTGTTTGATCATGTTTGTAGTAGCTTCAGCAGGGAGATTATATAGTAACCCATAATAATCTCTAAAGCAGTCCCCAATATCTTTTGGATTTGTATAAGTTATTTGATTATATATAATCTTACATATACGAGCGTTAGCATATTGTCTCCTCAACTTATTAGTTAGCATCTTATCTGTTTTGTTCCCTCTACAATAGAATCTCAATTTCAGTTTTTTAATATTTTCTATTGTTTTATTATTTAGGCATTGCAGAATATTTTTTTGCACTTCTGATATTCGTCTGCCTTTCTCCATTGTGGGATCTGCTTTATTATCTGTTGTAAGCTTATAAAGTTCAATGTATAGATCACCAAGTCTCTTTTCTTTACTTTTAGCTTCATGGTTTAGCTTTAGAAGGTAACCGCTTGTAACTGCTTTAAATGAACACCACGTATTCAGATATGAAGTTTCTAAAGGATCATTCTCCTTAAAGAAACATATTATCAGTTTCTCTAGCTTAGTCTTACTCTTTTTGTTATATAGCAGATAATTATTTAGTTTCCATGTTGTATTATTTGTAGCTGTCATCTTATCTTTTATTTCAAATATGTACATACTATGATCTGACTATACGTTTTCCACTATATTAATTTCTACCAATTGTCTATTAAAGTTATATTACCCCAGATCATATCAATTCTTGAGTATGTAAAATCTACTCTAGATAGATGGGTGTAGTCTCTTAATTTGGGATTTTGGAGACGCCAAGCATCGAATAAATCATAATTGTTTTTAGTATTGGTCAATAAACTCGCATTTTTAATTATTGTTTTGTTCATTACACTACCTTTCAGCAATTTTTTGTCCTTTTGTGGATCCAATATACAATTAAAATCTCCTGCTACTATATATATCCCAGTTTTGACTAAATCTGCTTTATCTAATATTTTCTTCAGTTGAGAAACTGGAGCTACGTTTGGTAGATATATGTTAACTATCGTATATTTAACATCGTTTATCTTACCTACTAAGATCATAAATCTTCCTTCTTTATCTAATTCCTGATAAAGGTTCTCCCACTTAACCCTATCTGAAATTATCATTGCTACTCCTCTTTTTTTTTTTTATCCTTCGTAGATGCATGTAGAAAGATTGGGAGCTTATTGCCTCCCCATGTTAATTTCTCATTTTGTCTGCAGTGTGTCTCCTGAACTAAACAGATATCTATTTTTTCTTTTAGCATTTGATTTCGTAGCAGAGATCTTTTATACATCGTATTCAGGCCCTGAGCATTGATAGACATAAATTTAACCATAATTCTGAAAGGCTTACAAACCCTTTCTTCTGCAAGTGGTCATCTCCCAATTTTGATCACTTTCAACTTCAAGCATTCCACCAGTTGCAGCTGGAGAATTTGATGGGAAAGCTCCAGACTCCGCCCTTTAACTTTGTATCTACCATTGTCTGGTATCAATGACCTACATAAACTACAGCGATACCCATACAACAAGTAGAGTTTAGTAAGATATATAGACAGTGGCGTACATACCAGGGTCGCAGGGGTCGCGGCTGCGACCGGGCCCGGCCCACCAGGGGGCCCGGCCGCCCCTGCGACCCGGTGTGTACCCACAGGGCCAGCCTCTTCTCCTGGGGGGCCCAGGAGCGACCACCCCAGGGCCCCCCCGAGGCTGGCCCTGCTGACCCCAGCGGGCGGGTGGCCGGTCGGGCAGGCGGGCGGGCGCGCGAGGGAGCACTCAGTGCTTCCTCTTCCGCTCCCTCGCGCACCGCACTGATACCGGAGCCGGAAGATGACGTCATCTTCCGGCTCCGGCATCCCCATGCGGCGCGCGAGGGAGCGGAAGAGGAAGCACTGAGTGCTCCCTCGCGCGCCCGCCTGTCTGCCCGACCGGCCACCTGCCCAGGAGCCCAGCAGCACCACTGGACCCCAGGGAATCCCCCCAGCACTCCAAAAGGTAAGGAGGCTGGGGGGGATTAAATTTAAAAAAAAAACATAGAGTGTTAGTGTGTGTGTGTGAGTGTGAGGGTTAGAGTGAGGGTTAGAGTGTTTGTGAGTGTTAGTGTGAGGGTTAGAGTGTGTGTGAGTGTTAGTGTGTGTCTGCTAGTGAGTGTTAGTGTGAGTGTTAGTGTGTGTGTGTGTCTGCTTGTGAGTGTTAGTGTGAGTGTTAGTGTGTGTGTGTCTGCTAGTGAGTGTTAGTGTGAGTGTTAGAGTGAGAGTGTGTGTCTGCTAGTTAGTGTGAGTGTTAGTGTGTGTGTCTGCTAGTGAGTGTCAGTGAGTGTGTTACTGTGTGTGTGTGTTAGTGAGTCTGATGTCTGTTAGTTAGTGAGTGTGTGTCAATGAGAGTGTATGTTTTGTAAGTGAGTGTGTATGTATGTCTGTCGCTGACTGTGTCTCTGTCAGTAAATGTGTGTCTGTTAGCTAGTGTGTATGCGTCTGTAAGTGTGTGTGTGTGTGTCTTCAGCACTTACCTTTCTCCAGCGCCGGACTCCCTTGGCGCTGAGGATCCCTCAGCCTCTCAGCTCCGAATGCGACCGCGCACGCATTCAAACCGCCCATAGGAAAGCATTACTCAATGCTTTCCTATGGACGTTCAGTGTGCTCCTCTAGCGGCTGTCAGTGAGACAGCCACTTCTCTGAAACTGCTATGTTTTCAGCTGCAGGGTTAAAACTAGAGGGACGTGACACCCAGACAACTTCATTGAGCTGATGTGATCTGGGTGTCTGTAGTGGTCCTTTAAAGGACCACTATAGTGCCAGGAAAACATACTCGTTTTCCTGGCACTATAGTGCCCTGAGGGTGCCCCCACCCTCAGGGACCCCCTCCCGCCCGGCTCTGGAAAGGGGAAAAGGGGTAAAACTTACCTTTTTCCAGCGCTGGGCAGAGAGCTCTCCTCCTCCTATCCTCCTCCCCGTCGGCTGTATGCGCACGCGCGGCAAGAGCTGCGCGCGCATTCAGCCGGTCACATAGGAAAGCATTCATAATGCTTTCCTATGGACGCTGGCGTGCTCTCACTGTGAAAATCACAGTGAGAGGCACGCAAGCGCCTCTAGCGGCTGTCAATGAGACAGCCGCTAGAGGAAATAGGGGAAGGCTTAACCCATTCAGAAACCCACGGATCAATTTTCGCACCGGGGCCCCATGGGTCATGTGTACGCCACTGTATATAGATACAGCACACAGCATACATCCCAGCTAGATATTACATGGTTAACTCTAAGTGGTATTGTTGGAAGGTGGAAGAATTTAGGAACACCAGCAACTCAGACATGGAAGTGGAATTCTACATAAAGTCACAGAGCTGGGTCACTGCTGAGGTGCATGGTGCGTAACAATCACCAACACTGTTAATTCTATAGCTGAAGAGTTCCAAACTTCCACTAGCATTATTATCAGCACAAAAACAGTGTAGCAGGAGTTTCATGAAATGGATTTCAATGGCTAAGCAGCTGCATGAAAGCCTTGCATCACCAAATATAATGCCAAGCGTCGGATCGAATGGTGTAAGGTACACTGCCACTGGTCTCTCTCTCATGCTTCTCTGTTTTGCAGTCTGATGGGCTAATGCCAAGAGAAAGTTACATTTCTGACTGCAATGTGCTAACTTTAAAGTTTGGTCGTGGAGGGCTAATGGTATGGGGCTGTTTTTAGGGGTTGGACTAAGCTCCTTACTTCCAGTGAAGGAAAATTTGAATGCTTCAGCATATCGAGACATTTTGGACAATGCTATGCTTCCAACTTTGTGGGAATAGTTTGGAAAATCCCCTTTTCTATTACATCATGACTGGGCCTCAGTGCACAAAGCAAGGTCCATAAAGACATGGTTGGTGTGGAAGAACTTATTGGCTCACACAGAGCCCTGTCCTCAACCCAATTGAACACCTTTGGGATGAACTAGAATAGAGATTGCGATCTAGGCCTTCTTGTCCAACATCAGTGCATGGCCTCACAAATGCTCTACTGGATGAATGGGCAAAAGTTCCTACAGAAACACTCCAATATCTTGTAGAAAGGATGAAGCTGTTATAGCTGCATATTAATGTATGTGTATTTAGACTGCAATGTCATAAAAGTCCCTGTTGATGTAATAGTCAGATGGCCCAATACTTTTGTCCATGTAATCTATTAATATATGTCCTGTACCTTGTAATATACTCTAGAAGGCAATTTGTTGTGTGACATGACACAGAGATGGACACTATGATAAAAAAAATGTTTTAGAGGTGTGCAATACCAATACATAGAAGTGATCACTCAAAACCATTTAAGAACATTAAAAATTGTCAAGCAGTCTATGCTGAACAACTTGAGATGGATTAACCCAATAATGTAAATTTATGAAGGACTCTAAAAACCATGTAGATTTTTTTTTCTTTCTGAGTAAACTTAGACTAGATATGTTTAATGCAGTTTTATACCAACTGCAGGGGTTAGGCCATTTGGCCCTGCCATTATAAAATACCTTTAACTTTTTTTAAAAAAAAACTATCCTTAACCCCTTAAGGACACATGACATGTGTGACGTGTCATGATTCCCTTTTGTTCCAGAAGTTTGTTCCTTAAGGGGTTAAAAGATCACTATAGTCACCATATAAAAGCAAGAAAGAAAGGTCCCCCCCCCCCCCCCTTCTTTCTTGCTTTTATATGAACTTGTCATTTAAAAAAAAAAAAAAATCTAAGCACTTTTTATTAATAAAACTTACCTCCGTTCCAGCGCCAAGCTTCCTGCCAGGCCACACCCCCTTTTTCATCAAAATGATGAAATTGTAGGTCCCAATCAGACGCTTCTCTTTGAGAAGCGTCATCGCTCTCATGCGCGGTTTCTCACCAATCAGGTGAATGCCGCTCTATGAAAAAAACTGCGCATGTCTATATCTATCTCTATATATCTATCTATTTCTATCTATCTATAGCTATCTATCTATATCTATCTATTTCTATTTATCCATATCTATCTTCATTAAGTTGAAGTTGTTCAGGTGACTATAGTGTCCCTTTAATTTTATCTGACCAATCTAAAATGGCAGCATATTTCCATTATGGTCAGCCATGCAAAATTGGTGACACTCATGGCTGTGTATGTGGTTTCATGCTTTCATTTGGCTAGGCATGTTGGAAATGTCAGCCTTTTTTGCAGGTTTATAAGCAAACAAACTAAATATCCATACACTATAAAGAGAGGTTCAGAGAATTAATACTGAGATTGCCCAAATTTAGTTTGAATTTCCCTGGTAAATACATTGCTTAAAGGGCACCAAAACTACTTATGCTCATTAGATTGAGCATAAGATTACATATATACATTGTGCTAGCAGTTATGCTAGCAAATGTATAGAATAGGAGAAAAGAGTATTTAAAAATAGTTTTTTTTTTTCTCCCAGGAAGTCTCTCTGCTCTCCACCCATATATTGTGGTTTCTATGGAAACCCCCTAACCGGCGCTTCTAGGCTAGGGGGTATAGGAACGAAGTGATGTGACATCACTCCGTTCCGATGCTGGCAACCGAGATGCCTGTTTGTGGATGTGTCCCAAGCAAGGCAAATCAAAGAAATCCACACACTGAGCAGAGGACAGCCAGGAGGTGGGTGTTTCACAAAGAGTATCACACACGAAGCAGTGCTGGACTGGAGAAAAAGTTAGTAAATCTCATGTTTTACTTTGAATACACCATGTATCTTTCTGATATATGTTGTATTCAATGTATTTCAGGTAAGTTAATTTATCCATAACTGGTTCACTTTAAAATATGACTGGAAACATGTAGGAGTCAGAGTCAACAGCAGCAGGTATCGGTTTAGAATCAAATCTGTCTATACCCTATAATCTCTGTGCCAAGGCAGAAGTATGCAATGGCTATCTTACTGTGCAAAATGTAATGCACATTACTATAGAGAATGTTTTGTAGTATCATATACATAGACTGATGTGCATGCCAGTATTTGATGCTACACTTAAAACAGTTTTTCTGTGATGTAGAATCTTTTTATGTACCGCTGTATGGTATTATCCTAATTTTTAATTTCTGATCCTAGTGTTATGTATGAATATGGTTAAATAATTAACTAAATGGGAACAAAATGTATTTTGTCAGAAAATATTTGATATTAATATTTGAAATGATCAATTCACCCTTTATTTACAGATAACTCTCTTCACTGTTCTTAGGAGGAAAAAGAAGTGCATACGGTACTTACAAGGAGAAGGAGACTGTGGCAGCCCAGTTTCTTCCGATGGAAGTGCTATAGACTCTCCATCCTCACTATTAAATGCACTCCAGTGCGTATCGTCTTCTGCTTATTCTTCAGGCAAGCTTAGTAGCCGCGCTGATTCTGCCGAAATTGAACAAAACTACCCTCTGCTCCCTTCTAATTCAAAATCTATTGGTACAACCACAGAACATAGACTTAAAATCACATCTCATGCTATAGATGTGTTAGAGTCCACACCTGGACATAGTGCAAATGTCAAAGCCACGTAACACCACAACAGTGGATCAACTATTGTCAATGCTGCATCGGACACTTTATAACTATTTTAAGGCTTTTTGTAGGCAAACCACCATCCTATGTGCCATCAGTCAGCACCTGAGATATAAACTTAGACTACTTGACCATTGTTCAATCGATATTTTAGAAAATGTGACACTAGTCAAAAAGAATCTATCTTTCCAGAGGGCTAGTTTGGATTTTTTTCCAAATATTTTTAGTGTTTCTTTTTTTGTGTGTTTTTTTTTTTTAAGAACTGAATAATCTTGTATTTACTCTGCTTTTTTTATCCTTAATATCATATGCTTTTTGCAGTATTATCTATCCAAACCAGTTAAGTTAAACAAAAAAAGCACTTGAAAAGGATGCATGTGGGTGCTTTATCATCTGAAAATTAGATATGAGTTATATCTTTATTTAAAATAAACACTGTCCACGGGTGTAATTTTAAAAAGGAAGCAAAATGTAAGTAATATATATGAATGGGTGTATAAACAGTATACTATGAAAATAAGTGGCAAATATAAAATGAAGGCACATGCCAGTAATGAATAAGGCAATTAAAGGACCACTCTAGGCACCCAGACCACTTCAGCTTAATGAAGTGGTCTGGGTGCCAGGTCCAGCTAGGGTTAACTCATTCTTTTATAAACATAGCAGTTTCAGAGAAACTGCTATGTTTATGAACGGGTTAAGCCTTCCCCTATTTCCTCTAGCGGCTGTCTCATTGACAGCCACTAGAGGCGCTTGCGTGCTTCTCACTGTGATTTTCACAGTGAGAGCACGCCAGCGTCCATAGGAAAGCATTATGAATGCTTTCCTATGTGACCGGCTGAATGCGCGCGCAGCTCTTGCCGCGCGTGCGCATTCAGCCCAGGAGGAGGATCGGAGGAGGAGAGCTCCCCGCCCAGCGCTGGAAAAAGGTAAGTTTAACCCCTTTTCCCCTTTCCAGAGCCGAGCGGGAGGGGGTCCCTGAGGGTGGGGGCACCCTCAGGGCACTATAGTGCCAGGAAAAAGAGTATGTTTTCCTGGCACTATAGTGGTCCTTTAAAGGAACACTTCAAGCACCATGATCACTAAAGCCCAATGTAGTGGTTATGGTACAAGGAGTGCTTTGACACATTACAGCATGGGTTAACAACTTACAATGGTCCCACTTAACTGGATCCTGCTGGATGCCTGCTGCCGCATCCTCTGCATCCAGTCTTCTCCAGCGGTAGAAGTCATATTGCTCTTTAGAACAAAGCAGGACCATGCAGGATGCAATCAATGTCTGAAAGAGTCTGCTGAACACTCAGTCCGTTAGTGTGGTCCAGCATTAGCCTTGCTTTACTCAACACAATCATCACAATCATCTGGCTTCTCCTGCAGGAAAAGATCTTTTGTGGCCCATGTGCCCAACTTGACTCTGGTAAATTGTCAAACCGTGCAGTTTGACATTTACAGTGGGACAGTACCAGGGTACTTCTGGAACCATAACCACTAAATCAGGCTATAGTGGTTGTGACGTTTTGAGTTTTCTTTTAAACCGGCACAAAGGTATATTCCTTTTATTCCTGAATATGCAAAAAAAAAAATAACTACTTTGTATTATTTAAAAATAGACTAGTTATAGAAATAGCTAGTTTTATTATTGAAGGTTTACTAAAATATTTAAATCTGAAAATATATTGATAGGTCAGATGTGAACATCACTGACTGATAATAGACATTCCAGATTAGTTTTATTGTAAGCAATAAAGATTGTGGCAAGTGTTTAAAGTTTAAAAATATTTGAATGATTGGATGTATACTTTTATGTAGATGTGTGGGCCAGTACACAACCTAGACTTCAAAAATCTAAAAACTGCCCAAATTATATTGAAATATAATTTAAAGGGAACTGGGTGACCCATAAAACAAAAATTGGAGATCTTTTTTTTTTTTTTAAATCCCACTGTTCTATGTCATCTGTTCTTTTGGAGTAGCTACAGTTTATTCTGAATTTTTACATAGGTCCATATAATAAACACTGTACAAAATTAAAAATGTTAGGCCTCACAGTTAGAACCTGCCTGTAAGTTGACAAAGTTCATCATGTTCAAACTTCAATAACTTCACCGAACAGTGCTAAATTATATCTGTCATTTTCATTGTTTACCAAAATTGTAATAGTTTAAAATATAGTTTAATCCATGTTTTTTCCATTTTACTGTCAAAACTGTGAAACACTCAGACTTTAATTTTGTAAAATATACATTTCAAGTTTTAAAGGAAATCCTAGTTTTTCTTTGAAGTTTTCTTTAATAGTTTTTAAAATGAGGTTCCAGTGCTTTTTCACATGCCCTTAAAGTGTCTCTGTCACCACAAACGTACCTTCATTCTATTGTTTCCTCTTTCAGAATCTTATGTATTTTTCTTATGCTTGACCATCTTGACAAAGGGAGGAGTTTAAGGCAAGCTCAATTATCTTTGGAAAGGAAGTGGTGCTTGCCTTAAAGGTACAGCTTAGGCACCATAACAACTTAATCTAAATAAAGTTCTTATGGTGCCAGAAAGCCCCCTGGCACACTCTTGCCTCAAGGGGTTACATCGTCCTCAACCAATCAGCAGCACCCCTGCCTGGTGACACTCCGTAATTTCAGAACCCAGATGCTGACTGAGGGGAGCTGAGATCGGCGTTGGTGGCAACTTTGGGTTTAAACCGTTCGAGAACAGTTTAACCCATTGAGGTAAGAATGCACCCGTGGACCTCCTGACACCATAACAACTTAATTTAGATTTTGTTATGGTGCCTAGAGTGTTCCTTTAAGCTGTAATCCAGTGCTGAAACAAAGTTCTCCCTGAAGCCTTCCTTGATGTTACTCCCCCTCGCATCTATGGAAAATGTAGGGCGGGGGTGTAACCCTTTAAGAAATGTCTACTCTACTGCCATGTATACATATTCAGGCACCAGCCAAAAACCTGTAGCCATTGATGCTCTGACCATTGTGTTCTGGGCCTTTTTCTATTCAGATAATGGAAACAAATCCTTTTTAAATAGATAAATATTAGTTATTTGGTTTATTGAAAAGTTATTAACCATTTACAAATCCAAGTTACATTTGGATTAGCAGCTATGATATCCTACTGTTCTATAAAAGGCAGATTTATTGGAGTAACTAAAACTGGGGATGTTCCATTTGTTTTCTATATATATTTAATATCATGATTAATTTCATAATTGTCCTTTTTAATTGTAGTTTATAGCACATGCTGTAATTTGATCTATGGTATCATTAGAATAATTGTCCAGAGCATCTTCGTCATAAACCACAGCAATCAATGACTTGGTGCTAGCCTAATTTATAGATCCAAGCTAAAAAATGTGTGGCGTTAAAAAAAAATTATTTCACACTGCAAGCCTGGAGAATATATGTTACCTCACCAACGCTACATTTCCTCTCTACAATGGCTACTCATGATTGGAAATTTTGGGATAGATTACATTTAATTATTACATTTGTATTCAAGTGTTACGTGGGCAAGTGCAGTGCACTAGAAATTGTGGAACAATTCTGTAAGCAAGTATGTGGCTGAACCATTAGTAATAGAACCATTGTGGGACATCTTGAAAGTGAAGTAGGCAATTTTTCCATTTAAATTTTCACATGATTGTTCAAGGAACATAGCCATTGCCTAATATACTAAATCCTAATGTTTATATTCCATTAATCTCAACCTTCATGGCTAGTTTTATAGAACAATCCATCTAAGATACTGTAGATTTGTATGCATTAGGACTGGATTAGGCAACCTTTGGCACTCTAGATATTGTGGCCTACTTCTCTTAGACTATTTTTACAGCCATAATATTGTCAAGGGGTCAGGGGAGCTGTAATCCATAACATCTGTTGTGTCAAAGTTTGCTTACACTTGTTCAAGGTCAAGGGTAGGCAACCTTTTAGTAGTACTGTGCGAAAACAAGATCTTGAAGTCCCTTAGCGTGCCATTGGTTGCTAACTTTTATAGATATACACTGCATTTCCACAGCACAATGTATTATTAACCCACTCACAAAACAGTATATATATATTTACTTTTACTTTACAAAATGAAATTTAGCCCATAAAGTCTAAATCCTTAAGCCAGGAATGATTACCAACCAGTAGAGGAACAAATGTCTCTGCCACAAACCTGTTCCACTTATTTAATCAAACCAATATAAAACAAAACTATGTTGTGGATACAATTATGGGGTGAGTATTATAGATCAGTAAATTTACCCTCCATGAAACACAACAAAAATAAAGAACATACCAGTATAGTGTTTATAAAATGAAACCCCTACAGGAGCATTGATGTATTTAATCTTCACAATCTTTAATATGCTTAAATAATGCAAAGTAAAAATAGTGTAAAACCATTATAAAAAACATTCAATAATTCAAAATGCAGCACACCTCCAACAGCAAAAATTTTCCTGTGGACCCACTATGGCGATGACCATGTCCGGAGTCCTTCCCCAAGGTAAGCCGCAAATACAGAACGTGTGTGCTATGGTGAAAGTTTCCTCTGCTACGTAATATCACATCTCGAGAGTAGGTAAAGGTGCAGAGATTCGAAGTGAACAGTTTAGTCTCTTCAGACTTTTTCAATAAGAGATTGAATATATTTCAACCACACGCACCACAGGGCAATAGCTATTAAAGTATCAGGCACAGTGTCCCTGGACTCTGCAACGAGTATGCCTCCTTTAACCCCTTAAGGACCAAACTTCTGGAATAAAAGGGAATCATGACATGTCACATATGTCATGTGTCCTTAAGGGGTTAAGCAAAAAAAAATAAATTCTTATGACTAGGGATAGATTTGATTCAGAAGGAAAAGCAACATTATCCAAAAAGTATGCCATCGAGAAACATGTATACATACGTTGAAGACTTTTTGAATTCTGGACTTAACACTGACTTAGACATTACGGCTTTTGTGTGATCACATTGTATTTTTGTTCATGTTCTAATTATCTGTTTTCCTTATTGTTTTATGGTATAACACGTCCGTGTATTTATGTGGATTGGATATTTTTTGGGATTGATCTGCAGGACAAATACTCTCATTTGTAAACATACAATTACACATCACTTAAAATATCCGTGGTCCGGGACAAAAGACAAGTTATTGTGTCCAAACCGATGTATGGGTAGCCCTGTAAATAAAGATGGCAAAAAGATTTCCAAAATGCACACTTTATTACACTTAGAAACTTAAATGCTTTTCTTCACTCTTTCTTTAGTTGAGGTATGTATCTATTATAAACAGAGGGTTTCTAGTGTCCTTGTCTTTTAATTATACGAACTGGAATATCCCTGCTAGAGGCAGCCAATGCTCCACCGATTCTGAAGGAATGTCCTGAAGACTGGTGTAATTCAAGTCTCACAAATAGAGTGCTGATGTAAAATATAAATGTAGCTGATGTGAGTGGTTTACCGTGCAACAACAGAAGAGACGTATTTCCTGGACAAACTGTTATAGTGTCACAGTAGCTGTCTAGTATTTTTATTGGGCATCAGTTATTGTCGGTGGGATAAAGGGGTATTTCTACTTGAGGGCATGTTTAATTGCTTTTAGCATGTCTTAATATAAGTATGTAATAATTTGCTGTATTAATGAGATCATTGATATTTAGACACCGTGATTGTCCTGATAATGTTTCTATTGTAAAATCCTTTGGGCGTAGGTAACCGTAAAAAGCTATATATTTGGAGGCCTTGAATACTGAATTGGTGTGTGTTTCAAACGGATGATTATCTAATATGTCAGAAAGTGCTCTGAATTTAGGCCCGTCAATAGGTTGACACTTTGGGGTTACTGGATGGTCTACTCGTTTTATGCCTTTAAGAATGTTATTATAGGGTAACTTGGCATGAATGGTTTGTGATTAGGGAAGGTAATACTTAAGTGATGTTGAATGCATGCGAAGTAGAGTTTTATTGTATTATGGGATAATTTTAGATAAAGGTGGCAAAAAGCAGCGACCGCCACCATGGTCTCAACGGAATAAGATTCCATAATCTGAAAGTCAGAGATTAATCTGTTGAATATAGTCAGAGATCTGTTCTATGTTCTCAGGATGTTATGGGATAAAGCAGCTTGTGCCAGCAATAATTGGGCTAGTTCATTATGAGGTCTTTGAAGGCTGGGGTATTGGATGGGTGTTTCCTGGCAGTTGGGTGAAATTTGAAGAAGTCCTGTAATGAGAATGGAAGATGGCATCAGCTGTGGAGTAATGAGAGCCAGGAATGTGAACACAAACAGAACATAATTGATGTGTAACTGCTAGCTAATCTCCTGAAATGGAGATTTCCCCAGCTCAGAGGGAGCCCGGTGCTGGAGAAAGGTAAGTGGCTAAAGGGGTTTTAACCCCTTCAGCCCAGCTGGAGGGGGGCCCTGAGGGTGGGGGGGACCTCATGACCCTAAAGTGCCAGGAAAACTACACCCGTTCCAAATTATTATGCAAATGATATTTTTCTCATTTACCTAAATAATTAATGTAATTAACAGTCAGCATAATTCTCATGTTATCAACTATTAAGAGTACAATTCAAATTTTATTGAACAAACCTCCTAAGAACAGTATTTTTTTAAAACATAAAAAACTTAGAATGCACTGTTACAAATTATTACGCACAGTAAGTTTCAAAACACTTTACAGGGAGTGCAGAATTATTAGGCAAGTTGTATTTTTGAGGATTAATTTTATTATTGAACAACAACCATGTTCTCAATGAACCCAAAAAACTCATTAATATCAAAGCTGAATATTTTTGGAAGTAGTTTTTAGTTTGTTTTTAGTTTTAGCTATGTTAGGGGGATATCTGTGTGTGCAGGTGACTATTACTGTGCATAATTATTAGGCAACTTAACAAAAACAAATATATACCCATTTCAATTATTTATTATTACCAGTGAAACCAATATAACATCTCAACATTCACAAATATACATTTCTGACATTCAAAAACAAAACAAAAACAAATCAGTGACCAATATAGCCACCTTTCTTTGCAAGGACACTCAAAAGCCTGCCATCCATGGATTCTGTCAGTGTTTTGATCTGTTCACCATCAACATTGCGTGCAGCAGCAACCACAGCCTCCCAGACACTGTTCAGAGAGGTGTACTGTTTTCCCTCCTTGTAAATCTCACATTTGATGATGGACCACAGGTTCTCAATGGGGTTCAGATCAGGTGAACAAGGAGGCCATGTCATTAGATTTTCTTCTTTTATACCCTTTCTTGCCAGCCACGCTGTGGAGTACTTGGACGCGTGTGATGGAGCATTGTCCTGCATGAAAATCATGTTTTTCTTGAAGGATGCAGACTTCTTCCTGTACCACTGCTTGAAGAAAGTGTCTTCCAGGAACTGGCAGTAGGACTGGGAGTTGAGCTTGACTCCATCCTCAACCCGAAAAGGCCCCACAAGCTCATCTTTGATGATACCAGCCCAAACCAGTACTCCACCTCCACCTTGCTGGCGTCTGAGTCGGACTGGAGCTCTCTGCCCTTTACCAATCCAGCCACGGGCCCATCCATCTGGCCCATCAAGACTCACTCTCATTTCATCAGTCCATAAAACCTTAGAAAAATCAGTCTTGAGATATTTCTTGGCCCAGTCTTGACGTTTCAGCTTGTGTGTCTTGTTCAGTGGTGGTCGTCTTTCAGCCTTTCTTACCTTGGCCATGTCTCTGAGTATTGCACACCTTGTGCTTTTGGGCACTCCAGTGATGTTGCAGCTCTGAAATATGGCCAAACTGGTGGCAAGTGGCATCGTGGCAGCTGCACGCTTGACTTTTCTCAGTTCATGGGCAGTTATTTTGCGCCTTGGTTTTTCCACACGCTTCTTGCGACCCTGTTGACTATTTTGAATGAAACGCTTGATTGTTCGATGATCACGCTTCAGAAGCTTTGCAATTTTAAGAGTGCTGCATCCCTCTGCAAGATATCTCACTATTTTTGACTTTTCTGAGCCTGTCAAGTCCTTCTTTTGACCCATTTTGCCAAAGGAAAGGAAGTTGCCTAATAATTATGCACACCTGATATAGGGTGTTGATGTCATTAGACCACACCCCTTCTCATTACAGAGATGCACATCACCTAATATGCTTAATTGGTAGTAGGCTTTCGAGCCTATACAGCTTGGAGTAAGACAACATGCATAAAGAGGATGATGTGGTCAAAATACTCATTTGCCTAATAATTCTGCACTCCCTGTATAGGTTGTAAAGAACTGAAAATTGTCATTTGTTGTGTTTGCAACATATTTACTAAAATCAAAAGCTATTTCAATTAAACTTATAACAACATTTTAACTTTTTAAACATTTTAACAGGTCACGTTACATTTTAACATAGGATCCCTTATTTGATAGCAGCTTCACAAGTCTTGCATCCATTGAACTTGTGAGTTTTTGGACAGTTTCTGCTTGAGGATGCTCCAAAGGTTCTCAATAGGATTGAGGTCAGGGGAGGATGGAGGCCACACCATGACTTTCTCTCCTTTTATCCCCATAGCAGCCATTGATGCAGAGGTATTCTTTGCAGCATGAGATGGTGCATTGTCATGCATGAAGATGATTTTATCACAGAAAGCATAGTTCTTCCTTCTGTACCAGGGAAGAAAGTGGTCAGTCAGAAACTCCACATACTTTGCAGAGGTCATCTTTACACCACTAAAGGGGCCGACCAGCTCTCTTCCCGTGATTCTGGCCCAAAACATGACTCCTCCACTGCCTTGCTGACGTCGCAGCCTTGTTGGAACAGGGTTGCCGTCCACCAACCATCCATCTGGACCATCCAGGGTTGCACGGCACTCATCAGTGAACAGGACTGTTTGAAAATTAGTCTTCATGTAGTTTGTCCCTGCAGGCTTTTTAATGTAAACACACACTGTGTGCAGCACTGGCATTAGTTCATATGGCACATCATATGGGTGGGGCATTGCCATGTCCCGGGGGCGGCAAATCTTTCTTTTGCCTAGGGCGGCAAAAATCCTTGCACCGGCCCTGTTTGTAGGATCTGATTTTAACATTCCATATGTTTCTCCATCCTCCAAAACTCTCAACATAGTAGTTAATATTCATAACGACAATGTTCCCCCCCTTCATCTTATGTCTTGTTTATACACTACTTTATTATTATAATCTGTTCTCCTTTTGTTACCATTACGAGCTCCAGGTATATTTGTATCCATTTATTATCCTTCTAATCCTCATATTTAGGGGTTAATGTTGAATTGACAGGCACGTCGGTTATCTGATCAAAGGGATGTGCCTGTATATCGGACTAGTGTCTGTCTCATCTTGTCTTATATTCATTAGGAGACTGTCCCCATTCCCCACACTTAGGGGTTAATTTTGAATTAACAGACACGCCAGTTACTTGATTAAGGTTCGTTCCTCCAACCTAAGCACACCCCCTATGATGTCTCGAAAACCGATTGGTTGTATGACATCAGAAGGGCGGAGCTTGTGCATTAAAAAATTCATGGCAAATTCGTTCCTGCGGCTCACTCTTGATAAAGGCGCAGTGTTGTGCCGAAACGCACATGGAGTAGGATGCCATACTAGGCTATTGATTTTATTGGGGTTCTCTTTTTAGCTAGTCCAGTCTCGCAGGATCTATGTAGAAGAGAAGCTTGTATCCATCTTTAGAGCTGCTTCGTAGCAGCTAGATAGACAGAGCTTTGCATGTTATTTCCAGAGGGGAAATGTCCTAAGTCTATGGATATCTTCAGATTTACCTATCCTAGGCAATGCAATCACTTTGGTGAGGTATCTTAATAGGGATGCTATAGTGGTATGCTGTCTACCTGATGTATGTGTAATTTTAACACAATACTATTCTAGGACTTAGCTGCTACTTATACTTTGTATATTTTTCATATCCCAGATACCTTCATTTATCTTGCCTGGTTCCCTGATTGAGCCCTCCATTTGAATGCTATGGACCTGTAACCCTTTTACCCAGGTTCTTTATTACCACTACCTCTTTATAGCTTAACTGAGGTAGGATGTACTTAATTTGTGGTTATACTGTGATTAATAAGATTAGGGGGTATCTGTTACGAACACTGCTATAGTAGATACCCTGTTCGTCTATTTCCTCCCGAACTGCTGAGCCTGAGTGATTATAGCTGCAGTTCGGGTGTAGATTCGAACGGTTCCAGACAAATGCAGCATCCAAGTAGTTTCTCCCCAGTAAGTAGACAGTTACCCAAACATGAGCCTAGACTTCATGAAGGGTACAACAGGAATAATTTTAATGGGTGCCACACTGGCTTTTATGCAAGTCCCCATGCAAGGGGCACTCCCACATGGACCTTGTGGGGAGCAGGGACACAAAGTTTACAACCAATGACAATACAGTGACAAAGTGTGACACTCCCAATACAAACAGATAATTCCCTCCTCTCTGCCTGTGAGATAATTGAGTCAGATAAAGTATTATCTCGAGGCAGAAAAAACAAATTTTTCATAAAACTTAAAAAGTACCCCAAAACACATAAAATCCCCATAAATGTCATATCCCCTGATAGTCCTGATCTGGGTGACCAACATATCCAAAAATCAGATCAGTTCAGGGGTTTTCGAATTTTATGGAAGTCCCATTTGGACCGCACACGAGGCTCCTGGCGAGAAACAGTTCCATGAATTTAGGCTGTGCGGTCGATCTATTTCGAAAAGTCATAAAAATGAAATAATGCACGAACAGAACCCCCTGGCCCATAGTAGCGATTGTTCCCCTGGTGTTTGGGAACCAAACTACCGAACAGCACTATCCTGGCTGTTCGGGAAAAGGAAGCAGGCCTTCATATACTTTAACCAGTGTATGGGAAGTCGACTGTCCGATTTTAGTTCCAGACACTCAACGATCAAGTCCTGCTGCCTCCTTTCGTGCGAACAACATGGACGCCGTTTTCTCTTGCACGTGGCGTTCAGCTATACGAACAGTGGCCACACAGGTAGAGCGCTTAATTGACGGTTTCCTTTGAAGATAATGAGACAGGAGGGTGGTCGGTGTTCGGTAGTTACAGCTACCG